TTACTTAGGATTGCAGCCCCACCATGGAATAATGCCTAATTACTTTTATAATTTATATACTCCATCACATAGCTTTTGTGCTAGCTCGTCTAAATGCATTCCCCTCATCTGTTTTGTTCAGAAGGTTTCAAAAAACAACAACAAACCCTTCCAGAACATAGTCCGCTTCTGTAATAAGAAAACACCAGGTACAATACATCACTTGTTTTGGGATTGCCCTCTTCTCGACAACCTTCACAAAGATCTCCTAGTGACTCCCTTACAGCTTAAAAAAAACAAAAACGATTTACAAAGAGTCTGTAATCCAATATTTGTTGAAGGATGATACGCCCAGAACAAAGAAGATTGTTTCGGGGTATCTAGCAGAGATCTTTAAAGCTAAAGCTAAAATTGCCTGATTTATTCAGTGGTGGCTATCCAGTCTTTTCTATATTGCATGTCTTTGGATTATTAATGTATTTACATCACTTTGTATGATTTTATTGTTTAAACTTATGCCAATAAAGGCCAATAACATCAATAACATCCGAAACCCAGCAGACTGCACTTCACCACCGGGGTTAGATACCTGTGGTGCTCCTGACGACTCTCTCTGTCATAGGCTGCTAGCACTTATCTTTCAGATTCTGTCCCAGGCTGACTTCCTCAGCACCCCTCTCAGAGCAGTTCTCCCAGACTTCTCTCGTCCACTTTTGGAATTATGCTCTGTCCCTGGCACAATAAGAAGCCTCCTCCTCCTCCTTCTCAGTCCCCCTTCTCACCAGCCCAGTTGCTTGTCGATGACTGCCGACTCAATCTGTTGCTTAGCAACTTGGGGAAAAGGGGATCGTCAAGGCAAGCTGCTTCATCTTTGTTTCAAATGAAAATCAGCAAGTGAGTCCTGCTACAAAATGTTGCCATATATATATAGGGGCATCCCCCTTCCAGGACACACTGTTTCATTCTTCCTCCCTCACCCATGAAATGCTCACTGAGCATGCTCAGTTCTTGTTTGGCTACTTCCCTGTATGTCCTTCCCCATAAAACAATAGTTAACCCTCAAAAGGTGTATCCTTTTATGGAACCTTGAAGATATCAGGCTCCATATATGCTTAACATTTCTCCCATGCTTGACGAAAGGAATTTATCATGTATGCTTTATACAAAATGTAACCATGATTAAGTATCCTATCGTCACATGTGTGCAAGTGTTATCAGTTTACTTTCAGACAAAAAGCTACATTTTTATGCAACTACACAGAATTCTTTGAAAAGTTAACTATGAAAATATCCAGGAAGCCTTTGCCAAGGTAGCCAGTTTTCATACATATTGCTTTCTCTCTTTTTCAAGTGCAGGTAGATAATTGCCTAGGCACAGAGTGTTTTAGCGTGCCAAATACCACACACTGGATTGTGAGCAGTTGCAATGAGCCAGGAGCACGAGATCTTCGTTCAACTCATTTGAACATTTAAATGGCAAAATCAAATTGTAGCAATAACTCATTAAACATTTCTAAGAGAGCAGGAGAACAGCACTCTCTCAGAGCTTATGAGCCACAACCTCAACTGCTGCAAATTAGCATGAAGCGAACAGTCAACAATTTGATCCTAAACGATTTTGCAAATTTGCTCCAATTGAGCATCAAATCATGCTATGAATTTCTAGATTAAAAGAACACGGAGTCTGTGTGTTCATAAAGGGAGTGTGTAGCTTCCCTTCCACATCCCACTGTCAATATGGACACTATTTGAAAGCAGGGTTGCAATTGCGACACTTATTTTTTTCTCTTCCCCAAACGACCAGAGGTATGTGCTTTTCATTTTGAAATTAAGCCTTCTTGTAAACAAATCCTTCTTCAAATGTGGCATGATAGCTAGCTTGGTAAACAAAGTATTATACACTCATTCTATTTACAGCAAATCTCAGAAGGTTTAAAAGGATTTAGGATTCATCTCTCCAAATTAACACACATTCTGATTAGAATAGTTACGTTATGGCACGATGCATCTTGCATTACAAGGGAGCTTTCCTAAAATGAAAGATAGAAAGAAAGAAAGGGTATGGCATCTCTTTCCTGAGTTGCCATCCCCAACCCTTGTAATTAATCTGTCAAGTACGACAGCTTAAAACCCCGAGTTTAACACTTTGACATATCTCAGATTTTAAACAGCAACTTTACTTATCATTATTATGATGACTAATGCAAAGCTATTTGTTGGGAGATGGGAAGGAATGGAAGCACATCAACGGAAGCATTTTGCCTCATTTACATTCAGGGCTGTCTCTCCCAAGGTGGTACAGAATTCAACCGTGATCGTTTCTCATGTTTTTATTTGTGTGCAATTGGATGGAGAAGGGACGCTTGGTACAAGAGGAGGGATGTGCTGAAGACATCCCAGTGGCCATTCCTTGAAGGATGTGCCTGTTCAGTACACAGGACTAAAGGACTCATTTTACCCAGTGAAACACTTGTGCAAAACACATGCCTATTATTTTATAAAGCCCCAATGATAGAATTGTAGAATTTGAAGGGACCACAAGGACCATCTTTTCCCCCAAGTGGGGCTTAAACCCATAACCCTGAAATTAAGAGTCTCATGCTTTACCAGCTGAGCTATCCAGCATCCCTTCTAATTTTTTATCTTGCTTTTATATTGTTAAACACAACCGGGGATGAGCCGATCTCAAATTTGGCAACTTTCAGTTTGATCGACCTATGTAGAAATTTATGTCTCAAGGACTTGCTTCCTTTCACAGGATGAAAAGAAAATCTAAGCCGTTCACTCGTCTGCACTAGCAGCACCACTTGCCAGTCATTAACTTCCCTCTCTCAGATCTTGAGAAGCCTATAAATCTTTTTTCCCTTGGACTCATATTTGGGATTTTAAAAAAATCATTTATCTTCACTCGTGGTGCAAATTCTCCCCATCCTTCCCTACACCTCCCTCCGCTCATTTGTCTTCTTCTAAGTTGATCTCTAATTTGTTTTGCTTTTTTCAGTTTAATGGTCAAACACTGTTAATTAGACAATCTGGGAGTCTCCTTTCCAAAAGAAAGAAAGAAAGAAAAAAGTGATTGGCACAGGAAATTAGATTCAAAGTGAGGGCACACCAGGTGGATAAAAGCTCCCCATTACGAGATGGCACAAGGAGGAGGGAGGGGGAGAGAAAGGAAAGATGGAGGGGGTGAACACACATTGACAGGAATGACAGCCTGAAAGTAGCACAGAGACAGGAGAGCCGTGCAACCAAAATTAATCATGTTCACGGGAGAATATTGAAAGGAAATTGGGCTGCCAGGGCTTCGTTCCCACAGTGGATCAATAGCAAAAATAATCACAAGCCAAAGAGCATGAGATTACATTTAAAACGGGAAGAATAGAAAAGAACTCCCAAGGATGCAGAAGTATGGAAAAACTTAATCTTTTTGCAATTATTGGTCACGGGGGCTCAAAGGTCTTATGGCACATAAAGTGGCCTAGAGACGCCAATGTGTGGTCTGTCACAAAGAGATGCACGTAGAGGCAGTACAAGTTCGGGAGGGTTTTCCCTCTCCAGTACTGGCCAAAATTGCAAAAACCAGAACCTTACAGATCCCCAGTTCCACCTCAAAGCTCAAGTCACTACTTGTCCATTTCCGATGGACCTGGCAGGTTGCTTACAAAATTGACCAACTCTTTGTTTTGCTTTTAACACAAAAGTTAAAGGCAATTGAGGAATCATTCCACACATCCACAGGGTTTGCATGGCTTTAGATTCATCAGGATAGGTTTAGAGGATAGGCACTAAACTAGAGCAAACAGTACAGCAACAGCCCTAATGTAAGAACGTAAGCACAACTTGCGGGATCAGGCCAAAGGCCCATCTCAGTTCAGCATCCAGTTCTCAGGGTGGCCATCCAGATTCCTGTGGGATACCCACAAACAGGACCCAATCACAGGTCCACAGGGCAGGCAATTCATTCGGGTTCCCCTGGCCTCCAGGGAGGCTTTTCAAGCTGCTGCAGGAGGGAGAGAGAGCCAGTTTATTTTCTTACTGCGAACGTCCTTGAGTTAACTTTGGACATAAAACCTATGGGATGCTTTTGAGATGCTCCTTAAAGACCAGGGAAGTGGGGAGTCTGGGAATATCTGAAGGAAATGAGTTCCAAACTGTAAAAAGGCAACATCAACAAGCTAATATTGTGCATCAAACTGCAAAGCTGAATCTAGAAGCTGGGCACCAGTTCTGAAATTATACACAAACGGTTTATTTTAGTGGGTTTGTATGCCTGCATAGAGAGCAAGTCCATTGATGTTACAGTACATTTCAGCTTAGCAGTTGCTTAATATTTCTAAACTGCCTTAATATCTCTGAAGATACCACTAAAACTTTTATTGGTTCTTTTATTCAGGTTTCGTGTGGCATCCTTCTGTTAGTTTGTTTTCCACCTAAATTGAAACATCTTGTTTTATTGTTTGTGATTTTTATTCTTTGATAACCCTAATATTGCTTTTTTGGTTGCAAAGTTAGCTTCAGGGCTTTCCCCCATTTTTTTAATGGAAAGGCAAGACAACACATTTATTTAAGTATATTAACCCTTTTATTGGAGATGAGCAGAACTATTTATTGTTCACAAAAGTATGGGCGAGGCATGGCAGAGATCTCTAGTCTACAAGCACCAGAGCATTTGCACCTGCTAGTGAAGATCACCAGACCACTTTTTCTAATGAAGTTCAGTACAGACCAGAACTTTCTTTTTATTTTAAAAGTATTTTAAATCAACGTGCAAGTCTGTTGGGGTCGTATTTTCTGCTCCTTTATTGCCTGTTGCTTTTGCTGCTGTTCAGATATAATAAAAAGTTTTACATGGTTTCAGGTGCTTTAAAAAAAGGCAGAAGGGGAAAGGCATACGCTTCATAAAACATAGATATAATAGGTAGCCGCCGGGCAAGATATTTGTTACAAAACACAGATTTCCAATTATGTCACTAATCACTGAGTAATCAGTACAAGCTTCAACATTAATTAATAATACAATCCTAATGACATTATGCTAAAGTCCTATGCAGTTTGAGACACAAAACTGAATAGGACCTCTGCATAATGTCATTAGGATTGATTTGCACTCTGAGATGAGAGTTAGCTAGACAAAGCAGGAAATCTATGGCTGGTTCATATGCATGTCTAAATCACTTGATTTCTGATCACTTGACAATGAATTCATTGCAACCAGCTTCATTAGGAGCCACTTTTGCCCTGTTCAAGCATTTAAAATCACCCCGATGCATGAGGACATATTGTGGAATGGCCTTTACTGGCCTGCCATGATCCTGCACCATAAGCACATTGTGGAAATACTTCCAACAAGGAAGCCCACCTGAGATGTGTAGGCTCTCTCTGTGATCTGGAGTCCTGCAGCTGGCAGGAGTCAAAGCAGCAATGACAGGACGAGAAGGCAGTGTCTGGTTCTCTTCCTTGTAATGCTGTGATTTTAACACCTCAACAGAACTTTGGTCTGCCCTCCAGATGTTGTTAGGACTATAAAGGCCATCAGCCCCAGCCAACAGTGTGTTGTAGTCCAACAACATCTGGAAGGCAACAGGTTGGTGAAGCTTTGTTTAAGGAATGTGAGAAATTAAAATTTCCACACATAACAGAAGTCACCATTGATGCTTCAGTCACAAAGTGTTGACCATTCATATGGGAACCATCCCTTAGGCTTAGGCTGAAACCCTCCATCAACATCGCTTCCTCCATCATCTGATTTGAGGATTAGCCAGATGCACTCACCTGCAAGCTGGTTACTGCCTCATCCTCCAGACAAATCTGTTTATCATGTTGAAAATGAGACACACCCATGTGTACTTTCTTCTTCCCGTGTGTTTCTTGTTATATTGGCCAGTTTGAGGGTGCAAGCTGGTGAGGAGTGATTCATTCAATTCAGAGTGCTTTACAGGACCGTAGAGGTTATGAACACAGAATTACATCAACATCACATTTTCCATCTGAGGTTCCCAACGTGGGGCACATGCCCCACAGGGGGGTAATTTAATTTTTAAGGGGAGCAATTTGAGAATGAGTTATTAACAGTGAATGGCCTTTTAGGCTTCCTCCATGTGAATAGGAGTTCACTTTTTTAATAATAAGAATTATATGTCATGGGGGGGGGGCATCAGGATTTTAGAGATGCTTAGATGGGGCATGGCCAAAAAAAGGAACCACTGGTCTAGAAGGTGCTTGAAGCAATATTGTCACAACAGAAGACTTGCAATTAAACAAAAGACACATGCATTTAAATCTTTTAAAGTATCTAACCCTCTTGAACTTTGCAGCCCCCACAATGCTGCCTCTTCCCCCACATGAGCCCTTTAAGAGAAACCTTAAAGACTGGTCAGGAGGGGCTGTGGACCGGTGCTTTCAGGCAAGAGTGCAGCAGCTGAAAGGCGTTTGAAACTTCGATTTTAAAAAAGCTCTTGAAAAGGAAGGCCAGCTCTTTAGCACAAAGGAAGGGAAAGAGATGAGGCCTGCTTGAAGAAGAGCCAAGCCCTTGCAATACATAGTAATGCCTGTGCTCTTGAGACAATGAGAGGAATGTCACGGCCTTCACCTCTCAGTTGAACTCTTCATTATGGGACAGTTGACAGAGCTGCAGCTTTCCTTCTAAGTCAGTTGATTTAATTTATGATACGAGCCGTGGGACAAGATGTTTAACTGAAACTAATGAGAGGATGCGGACTGAAATCAATAGCATAGGTGAGCTGCGGCTTTTGTTCCGTCCAGCCTTTCTTCTTTCCCATTGTGTTACCCCAGATATATTAGGTATTGACTACCGCTGCTGAAGGCAAACATTTCAAATAACTCGAAATGAAACAGACAGCTTACTCTGTCCAGATGCCAATACGTCTTTTACTCAGGCATCTTTCACAAAAGCACAGAGCCAGGCATGAGTTTTGAGGGTGCGGATAGACATATAGATTTACTTCAAAATTCAGTACACGATTCATATGCAACACAAGTTTTTAGAAGAGTGGCATGGTTAGTCTATTGCAACAAAAACAATGGAAAACCTGTTGCATCCTAGCATTTTATTACAGTCTTCGCTTTTGTAGATTGTGGCCCAAGTTTGTCAGATGAAATGGTCTAGACTAGTGCTTCTCAAGCCAGCTGAACATTCAGGTAGGACTTTTTGAGGGTGCAGGTAGCTACAGAGGGAAGTAGGAGCCAGGGAAATTTTCCTTCTGTGAACTTCCCTTCTGCAAAATTTTCTTAGAACTGGTCTGCGGACCACCCCTTTGAGTAGCACTGGCCTGAACAATCAAAGGTAGGAACTATCACATACTAAAACCAACTTGAATGAAGTTTCGTCACGTTCAGCTTCTACATCAAGGCTAGGTTGCAAATTTTGGATTCACTGAGACTTAGTGCCTCATCAGAGGTAAGTGCATGTTGGTACTTACTGTGATAAGTTCCTTCTCCATAGGGAAGAAGGGGGTCCTGTGTGGGTTGCCACTACCCATTCTCAGCAAGGGCCATGGCAGTGTGCAGACAGCTCTGGCTTAAACAGTGGCAGGCAGATGCCAACGCCATTCTGGCCAGTGACCCCTTCGAAGGAGACAAGCTATTTGGGGAGGGGCTGGAAGACACCCTGGCAGAGACCATGTTAACTCTGAAGTAAGGATTGAGAGAAAGTGTAAGAAGGGAAATTATTCCTCCTTTGGCGCCTACAAAGACTCCTTCAACAACATATATACCAAGGCCTAGAAGCCCTCCGGGTGGCCAGGTGGGGTTCTTCTCAAACAGAAACCAGAATAACCAGAACTCCTTCTTCAACAGGCCTTAAGATAGTTACTACAAGAGGCAGCAACAGGCCTGACTCCGACCAGCTTTCAGGGAAGTGGGGCAGGGAGATATAGCACTTCCTCAGTTACAGGAGGCCACAACTACATACCGGTGGTTGCTCAGCATCATCCAGCAGGGTTACAGGATAGAGTTTGACCAGCTACTCCTTCCCCATTTCCTCCTTTGCTCCTGATGCTTCAGGCACTCCAGCATTTGGCGGATATCAGGGCAACAGAGCATGTGGCAGAACCACAGAGGGAATCTGGCTGCTATTCTATTTTGTTTATGGTTCCAAAGAAGGTGTAAAAATGGAAGGCCATCCTGGATCACAAGAGGGTCAATCGGTATTTGAACCAGGACATCTGCTCAGACTCTCTTCAACAAGTTGCAAGTGATATAACAGAGACCCTAGTCTGTCTACAAAACCACAGCTTTGTGTTGAACATGGGAGGGGGGGAAAACTCAGCAGAGATCATGGTGCACTGGGCAGCGGTGATAGACACCAAGTAGGGCATGGTTAGCCTTCATGCAGAGCACACAGCCAAGATTTGGAAGACAGTCTGACAGGACCTGAGAGCAAAGAGCACAGACACCCTTCAGCTGGCCCAACTAGAGGGGCCCATGAAAGATAAATGTGCATTCAATCATCTTAATACATGACAATCTAATAGTCTTCAGAGTTTATTGATTTTCCATTTGGTCTAATACCTACCCTTGAAAGCATGAGTGGGGAAAATGCTTATGTTAGACAACAATTCTTGTTTTATTGTGGATCATTCTGATTTGATTGTTGTGGATAGCCACATTTCCCTGTATGATGGACATCATACATGGGGAACATTTGAAAATCTGCTGAATTAAAAATGACTCCTTCAGTCTGTTTCCAACAACTGCACCATTGGCAGCTCCTCATGTTGGCTGCCGTGGATGACAGCTGCCAACCATTGACCTGCCATTTTATGGAGAAAGTTCACATTACAACCCATGACAAATACAGTGGTACCTCAGGTTAAGTACTTAATTCGTTCTCGAGGTCCGTACTTAACCTGAAACTGTTCTTAACCTGAAGCACCACTTTAGCTAATGGGGCCTCCTGCTGCTGCCACACCGCCGGAGCACGATCTCTGTTCTCATCCTGAAGCAAAGTTCTTAACCTGAGGTAATATTTCTGGGTTAGCGGAGTATGTAACCTGAAGCGTATGTAACCTGAAGCGTATGTAACCCGAGGTACCACTGTATTACAAACAAATCTAACAAGGTGTAGTATACAGTTGCTTCAAGAATGGAGTTTGGGGCTATCAATGTTATTTTTACTGTGGGCTCATGAAAGCCCCACATTTCAGTAACTTGTTTAAAGAGTAAGTTGCCAACTTTCCACCTGGTACATTACTCATCATCCATATCAACTGATAGCCTTCCATAGGCTCCATAGCATTCTCAAAAGTGTTGTCAAAAGGAGAATTATGCAATTCGTTTTTTAAATGATCGCTTATCGTTCCCCATCACTTAAGTATCCTTGCTTCAGCAGAACCCTTTATCTTGCATTAAGACTTAGCAGTTTATTCTAACTTAAAAGAATGGATTTGATTTCTGTATTACATTGGGTTCTTGAAAACCATGAACTGAGTTGTTTCAAATACTTGTTTCCATAGCTTCATAGTATTATTACAACTCAACTTTTAATTGCTAACAGAAGATGAAATGCCCAACTCTCTTCTAAGCCAAAAGTAGTATGTGTTAAGAGTGCTATCTAGTGGACACCTCTTCTGAAGATGAGACCGGAATGAGTGCTAGCTTTTCCTTAAGAAACTGAAATGCCAGCCACCAAGACAGGGACTAAAAGGATACAAAGTGATTTAGGCTGGGCAAGTGGTCCACACGCACAGATCACATCCCTACAAGGATTCGGACAGAGAAAGTGAAGTGCTACGATGCTGGAGGAACCAGATAATAGAAGAGAATAAAACAACTGTATCTCATCAGTGATCCCATTCTCAGAGAAAGAAGCCAGTTATTCTATATATAGTTGTCACTAGACAATTTATGAGGTAGTCCCAGACACAATATAACATACTATTGTTACATATCCCCAGTCTTATAAAACAAAACGAATCCTATTTTGCTCATCAAACTTGAGTTTCTCAAATAGGCCCCCATGCCACAAAGGGAGACACTTTTGAAACTGATACACCTTTTAAAAGTAGTCTGTGTTATGGCATGGTGGTCTGTTGTTTAAAGGCGGAAATGCCATGATGTGAAGTCCTCAAGTATGTCTATCATCGCTCTTTGGAGTCTGACCATTTTTTTTTTAAAGGAATCTATTATGCAAATGGTGTATTCACTCAACATACAAGGACTATAACCAGAACTTTAACAGGAACACAATTCCTATGCAAGACCAATGGAAACTCACAATTGTTATGCAAACACACACACATGAACTTGAGAACATGATTATTAAGTCCAGTGGTACAGAGGTTTCCTGGATATCAACATATTATTAAAAAATTGTTCATCTTCACAAGTCCATATAAATAATATCAAATCCATCCATTTGCAGGTTAACTGTGGAAATGACATGATGCTTGGGTAAAACAAGTTAATAAACACACTCCAAGAAAATGTATGGTTCTGTTAACATTTTATAAAATATCTTACAAGAACAGATAAAGTAATTTGAGGTTACATAATATTCAGAATTGAAAAAAGAATGTTGAATAAAATAGGAATTGATCACATCACTATGTTTGCCACGTTAGACAAGTTTATAAAAAGGCTTTTTTTCAGATAAAATAGTTATTTAGAAGATAAACCTTCAAAAATGAAAACTATTGCAGTCCTTTCAAGAAACCAGTCCTAGAAGCACTACGTTCCAGGTCAACAGGCAGTACCTGATTAAAAACACACTTATCTGCTTCCAAGTTTGTCAAGCTTTTAAGACACAAATTAAAATATTTACCAGGTCAGTGCAAAGTAAAGCTTCAAGCTGGAAATATGATTCTGGTACAAATAAATTCACATTATGAAAAATCCTCAAACACACACATAGGATTTAAGCAAACCTGGCACAAGACTAGTTGGCTATTTGAGGACACTGACCAAGCACTAAAATGGCAGCTCATTTAACAGACGTTGAGTTTGCTTGCATTACATATTGTCTGCATTGTAGATGTGCCCCATCATCTGAGTCAGCAATTTTAGAATTCTTTAGTAGAAGGCTGACATTATGCTGAAATGATTAATTAAAGCTCTTGAGTGAGTCTTGGATGTAGGAACAGGACCACCATTCTGAGTAGCTTAAATACCTCTGAAACTGATTTGCTGAGAATTATGTGTTACCAAACACAACAGTGTGCTTAAATATGTGTGAATATTTGTATGAACAAGCCCTTTTTCTGTGGTAATGTAAGAGACCTTGTTCAGAACAGAACTCTTGCCATAATATTCTGCTAATTCATGAGCAATAACCAAACCATCAGAGAGCTAATTTTGCATGGCTATATTATTAAGAATGCTTTACAGTACCATTCTGTCATCCATGGGATGACTTAGATTGAGTAGGCATTAGTGTGAACATTCTTCACTGGAATAGGATGGCCTTGTAACCTCTTCAAAGACTTTATGAATCCTAGATTCATTAGATCCAGACTTGGGACAGTTTATGACAGGCTTCCTCAACCTCGGCCCTCCAGATGTTTTTGGTCTACAACTCCCATGATCCCTAGCTAGCAGGACCAGTGGTCAGGGATGATGGGAGTTGTAGTCTCAAAAACATCTGGAGGGGTGAGTTTGAGGAAGCCTGGTTTATGAGTATGTTGACACATTCTTTCACAAGCCTTCATCTATTGGAGTCATCCCAGTAACACAAAACACCACACTGCGCACTTTAGGCGAGTAGAATTAGTGCTTTTCCTAAATACCCATACCAGTGGTTCCCAAAGTGGGCAGTACTGCCCACGAAGGGATGGTGGAATTACCTAGCATGGGCATTATGAGGCAAGGGGATGCTGAAGGTGTAAATGACTGTCAGACTTTGAAAAGCAGGCATCACTGGATCACATGCATCAAAAAAATTTTACTTTAAATAATTTAATCGGATTGTGAATAAATGTGCAATTAATCATTACTGTTTTGAATTTTATTGCATTATTCTCTTCCTTTGTGGGTTGTACCCACCACTATTTTGAATAATGCTTTTTATAAGGTAGGGTAGAAGGGCACTGGGGCTGAGTTTATGGAACCCAGAGGGTGGTGCCCCCAAACAGTTTGGGAACTACTGACCTATACTAAAAACAATGGTCTCTACTGCAATTGAAGGTCTTGTGCTATGACAAGTAGTCCTTTCCCTCTTTATAATATATTAATCTTTTAAAATGGCAGAATATAACTTGAGTTTTCTGTAGGAAAATTGCAGCTTTTTAACTTAGCAGCACATCAACAAGGTTCTTATGAATTAGAAGGCTTGAAACCAGTCTTAATGATCCTTTTCGGGACTTATCAATAAGTCTCTTCATGAGGAGCAAAGAGATAGCCAAGTATGATTGCACAGAATTACAATTTGAACAGTTTAGAAGTGGGTATGTCATACGTTCAGATCTTTATGAAAAAATATAGGATATGAAAAATTGGAATTCCAATATAAATTATATTTATAATTTGTCACCATAAATGAGCTAGAGTGCCAAAATCAAATCAAGTAGTGTTGTGACAATGAGTTGCTAGGTGAAAGACCTTCTCAAAACTGGCCCAAGGGAAAGGGCTGAGGATGTGCACCACAAACTGAGATGTCCCTGATCTTGCCTAATCTGATTTCTGGAAAATGGATCACAGCCTTAATTTTGGAGACCTGGTTCCTGATCCCCTCCTTGCAGTACTTTTTTCTAGTCTATATTCAGTCAGGAACTTTTTTCTAGTCTATATTCAGTCAGGAAGAGGAGTTCCTCTGAATGATTGCATCTGTTTTTATAAAGTCACAACAGCTTCATTGGATGTTGAACCACTAGGCCAGGTGATGTTGGGCATGTCACATATGGTGGTTGGGTTGAAGAGATGGGTGCCTTATATTGGCTCTAAAACAGGGGCAAGGAAACTTTGAACTTCTAGAAAAGGAGTGAGGAACCCTCAGGCCTCTCTATCTGGCCTTGGGACTCTCCCTGGACCCTTCCTTCCTCAGACCACACCCCTCACTGGACCTGCTCCATGCCTTCCTTGAGTGCTTGCACTCATCTGAAATGTAGCCTTCAAAAGTGACCATGTCATGCTTGCCTTGATCAAGGATGCAGATGTGTACGTAAATTTTTGTCTGCATGGCTGAAATGTAGCCTATTATTCAAAGGTAAGAGTCACATCCATTGCTTCACCACTTTTGCTGCTGCCCCACTCCTCAGAAGTATGTGGGTCCCTGAAGGTTCCTCAGAAGAGAATGTAGGCTTTGGGTTGAAAAATGATCCCCATCCCTCGCTGTAGATGTTGTTGAACTCCAGCTTCCATAAGGCGAAGCCAACTTGGCCAATGATTACAGAGGAAAGGCACTGCTGTCCAGCAACATTTGCGGAGCCACACATTCCTCATTCCTGCTCTGAACACAATTGTGGTATCAGAGCAGTCAGTGTATTCAGACTGTATTCTTCACAACAGCTGCATGAGCAACAAACGATATGCATTTTCCCCATCTCACATCACAGCTGGTATTCATTTGGACCACCTGTCATTCAAGCTAAACAATGCCAGGGAGTGTATGTGAAAGTAAAGGGGGAGACTTCAATGTTGACAAGAGAAGGAAGAATTAGAGCACATGTGGATTTTTTTCTGGAGCTTACCAATAACACTTCATTTAAGAAGTTGAAGGTCTTGATTTAGCCTGTGCTTTGGAACGTCACAGTGTGGTGCACCACTAGGAACTCAAGGCAAACATATTTAAGGTACCTCCAAAAAGAAAAATCTTGCGCAATTGGTTGATCTCAGCACTGAATATGCTTTTAAGGTAATAATGTGAGCTTCGAAGAAATAGTGCCACAATAATTGCATTTGGATTCAACAGTGCAAAGATTCAAAGTACCTGTGTTAATATGAACTTGTCCCCAAAGCTGTGATGAATCAGCAAATAATTCTTCACACAGGAAATTAACTGATCCTACCTTCCAGGAGTGCAATCTACCTGGTCACTGCTAATATAACTCGACACAATGGATCTATTTGGCATGCCTGATAATATTCAAGGCATGAACATGGGCACCTTTCATCAAGCTCATCATGGAATGAAGGGCTAATCTGAAATGCATACAAATGGATTTTTAGTATATGTTCCAGGTACAATTTACATTTCAGGGAAACTATCATATAATGCAATTTAATAGTGTGAACGTTTAATTTATTTTAAAATTGAAGCCATCTAGACCTTGAAAGTTATCGGCCATATGTCAAAGAAAAGCTGCCCACTGTTGCAGTCAAAATGCCCTCCAAGAGGCAGACCAAAGACAAAACAATGTATTACACATTCAATTTTCTCTCTCTAAATAGCAAAGATACAACAGTAGGGAAAAATCAGTAGTGAAGGCCACATTTTCCCTTGCATTTGCTTGATGCTAAAATACAAAAGGAAAGAAAAAGGAAAAAAAGAGATTAAAGCTTCTTTAAAAGAAAAAATGGAGATAAGAAATAAGTGACTCATAGTTGATGGGGCAAGTCAGTACAAAAACAGTTGGAAATGCTACACAAGAGTAGAAAATATGAACAAGAACAAAAGAGGACTATCAGCTTGAAAATGGTCACTCACCACCTTGTAAACATGAAAATGCATTTCACAGATTAAAAGTTTATGGGAAGTAAACTTCTTTAAATTATTTGTCAGTTCAACCCTGATTCAAAAAAGTATGGCTAGCAAAAATACAGAAGATCAAATCCACTTATGTCTTGAAAGGAGCAGTTTCCCCTCCCTGAAAAACTGCTGGAACTCTACTCTTTGAAAATGTCTAGAGAATAATCTCTCTCTTGCACGCAGTGTTGCACTTGCATGTTAGCTCTCATGTTCACACTCACAAACTTCAGAAGGACAGGCTTGCTGCAAGGTTTTCCACACTGCTATAGATTGAGACGTGGGGAAATGGTCGGAGGAAAGCAGGCAAATTCTCTTAGAATGCTCCGTGCTACATCAAGGTTATTTTGGGCTATTTCAAGCGCCCGCTTCACTTCTTCAAAGGAATAGCCTTCTCCCATAAGTTTTGCAATTTTTGCATCAACGTTTTCTATAGATGGGTCAGAGTTATGTGCCTTCCTATGGTGTATTTCTGGAGCAGTCCGGCGGGGCAGTGGTTTAGGAGGTCTGGCTGGTGCTTGTGAACCATCTGCACAAGAAGAAAATCAAAAGAAAAACACAATTTGATATTCAATAAATTCACAGCCAATGTTTCTGTGTGGAATTTTTTATTAATTAGCTTAATTTGTTAGGGTGCTGGGGAAGTGTTTGCAGCAAACCTGAATCATCATATGTCATTTTTATTTTTACACATACTGTTTCCTAAATGCACCATACGATTATACTTAATGAAGAATAAGGTAATATGAGACAGCAGATCACTTATTATATATCACGGATGGGGAACACAGAGTCTCAGAACATCTGGAGTGTGACCACTCCCATCATTTTTACGCATGATAAATTAGTGATTCATTTGTCATATTTTAAGGTTCTTATTCTGCCAAATAATTAAACAGATTCTGATCACCCATAAAATGAGCTGGAATGAATATAAAATGTGCATTATGTGTTGAATCGTTCAACACAATACAGAATACAAATGCTATCCACAAGTGTTTTATTCAATTCAGGTTAAAGGTGGAACAGTTCCTCATGAATATTATTAATTACACAGACTATAAATCCAATAAAAAACTTTCCAGTTTATACTATGACATGATTTAGTACACAGATTTTCATTTAATTCAGCTTAAATTGAAAGTATTGATACAATTCACACTGCATCATTATTTGTAGTGCTGGTTGAAACTCGTGGATATTTTAGAAGATTGTGGTAGAAATCTTCCAAATAATGTAGCCCACACAAATATCAAGACGACTATAAGCATGTCATGCAGCAATTTGGTTAACGTTTAAAAAAGAAATTTGGCTGGGATCAGGAGGACCACCACTAATGGAAAACAATTAGTTCAAGTTAAAGAATCACACCCTAAGTAAGTTAAAGCATGGATAAAGTTAACTGTGCAAGCTTTAATGGCGGCATTTTATAAAGAGAACTGTTTTGTGTTCATTGTGGATTAGAGCAGGGGGTGGGGAGCCTCTGGCCCACGGGCCAATCTGGGCCTACCAGGGAGTCCAATTTGGCACTGCATCAGTTGGCATCACTTGTAACATCAGTGGATGGTGGGAGGGCAGGGAATTCAGCATTTCCTGCAGTTTGAGCAATGCTGAATTCCAGCAGGGAACAGACACCAATTCATGGGTTAAATCCTGCCGCGTTGGATGCAGGTGAGTGACAGATTGGCTATGAGATGCCTGTTAAATGCTGGCTTCTTTCTCGCCCTCCCCCAATGGGGAGAGCAGAAAGAATGGCTTTGCTACCCCTGTGCTCTGTGAAGTGCTGAGCATAGGGCTCACAACAGCATTTGTGCTGCTGTTTCTAAAAGCCTGACCGCAAGCTGGCTGTGAGGCACCTGGGAACACAGTGCAAGGGCTTTTGGCAGGTCGGCAGGACAACCAACCTGTTCATCTTGTCATGCAATAATGACAGTATGTGACTGAGAGTTAGGCAGGCCCACCCACCTCTCAAATCTGGCCCCTTGGAATAAAAAAAAAATAATGTATCCATCCTTGGAACAGAACCAAAGAACCCCAGCTGCAGCCATGGTCTTCTGAGGGGAAAACTTCTAAAATCCCAGGTAATATTTATCACTGAAATGTTTAGGAATAAGGAGTTCACTTCCCAACACCAGCTATGTTTATTTAAAAAGGAACTATCTTCAGTTAGGTATGTTTGGTTTGTAATGTCTGTTTCCAACTACATGAAACTATACTTCATTAGTCTAGGTATACAAATGAACATTCAATACACTGCATTATGTAATCTTATTTGGTGGAATACAATATATATCTATGTCAGTGACTTTTCTATTTTCAAGTGTTGTATTCTGAGGTGTGTAAATGATAAACGGGCAAGTGTATTTAAATGCCTCATATAACCAGGTCTGATTTTTAAAAATATACATATTAATACTAGGCTTTGGCTTGCAGAACTACATTTCCACCTAACATCATGGGAATGTAGGGTCAAGTTTTCACAATGTGCATATGCTTCCTGGGCAGCTGCTGTTGCATTTAATAACTGTCCAAACTATGAACTCGTGGAGTACAAATCACATACTTTGCACATTCCTGAGGGATCTTGGGAGAATTCTGGTTGGCATAATAGGCACTCTTCTTAATATCTTAGGTTACTCTGTGGAATGCAGATATCACTTAAGTGGTTGACAGGATGGCTCCCAAGTGCCTTCTCTTGCTAGGTAGAGCCTCTTCAGCTACCTCATGTAACTGAGCAGGCAGGGAGAATGCCAGAATATAAGCAGCAAAACTCACTGTGACTCTGGCCTAACAAAATTCAAAGCTCATTATCAAGCATATTCGGTGGTGGTGACGACAGTGAAGAAGTAATACTTCTCCACAGCTACTGTGTCCTTACAATGCCTCTTATAAGAGCTTTTTTGAGTGATTCATGGCCTACTTCGACTTGGCCCAGCTGACGATGTCAAGTTTGATGCATTTACTAAGTGATGATGTGTATACTACTTTGAGGACAAGCTCACTCATGTACGCTGTGATTTGATGCTAATGTTGTGAAAGTTCTAGCTAGTGATAAAGTGCCCCATTTGATCCTGTGTTACTAGATGAATTTCAGTTGCAGTAGCGACAGGACCCAGACAAGGCTCTTGAACAAACACACCCAATTCAGGTGAGGCAGTGGAAATGTTAAACTGGCCACACAGAGGTGCATTTTGCATCTTCATATCTTCATCATACAGTTTCTGTCACATACTGAAGATACACTTCTTTATCCTGGCCTTTTGACATCTGAGATGTATAGTTGCATGACTCACCCTATATTGTGATTGTAACTTGTTTAAAACTGCTTTTAACATTGTAGCTTAAATTGTTGAAACCCTTCATGGGGCCTTGTGGGGAAAGGTATATACATAATGTTAGTAATAATCCATCAGCCGGACCATACACCAAGATCTTCTCCTGAGGCATTCTTGTGGTTGCCCTGCCATCTGAGATGTGACAGGCAGGGACTAGAAGAGGCTATTCTTAGTTGTGGCACAGCCCTTGTGCTGTTCCTGCAATATTTTCCTAGACCTTATTTCATATAGTATGATTTCTGTTTGTCTATATGTAATATTACCTTTGAGTAGGGAGGAAAACTAGTATGTAGTGTGGGCCTGAGAAACACAGCTATCTCTGTAATAAAGTAATTACAATAGAAGTTCAGATAAAGATGGACAGTGTGAATGCCCTAGATCACCAATCTCAAATGTTTTCTTTCCTCATAGTAATTCATTGTGTTCAGTATCACAAAAAGGACAAAGTTATCAATTTGTTCTTTGAGGGAGAAGGTGGCAAAGAAATGGTTCTGTATACTGTGCTTTGCTTACCTGAACAAGATGGAAGCTGGTCATAGTCCTGCGATGTTCTGTGTGTTTTCATATTTTCACCAGTTAATCTTCGAACTGGAGGTAAAGGAACTAAGCCATTTACAGGATCAAAGAAAAGATCTATACAATTTTAAAAACAAAAGGAAACTTTATGCTCATAGGATTATAGTAATCAAAGAATATGAAGTTCAGAAATGAATACAAATGAGATCACTGGTGGACTAATAAATATAGGCTTAATTCAAATGTCACAAAATGTGCTATGGAATTGTGCGTTCCTACATACCCACATGCAGATTTTCCCTTTCCTCCCATGCTATGTCAACCAGGTAAATCACAATCAGGTGAAAAAGGATTTATTTCTTCTAAACTATGGTTTGCAAATCTATTTCCAAATATAGTTTCAAATGAAGGTTGGGCTAGAGCTGCTGTGCATTTTTGCCTCCAAATCTCAAGGTGAAAAATACAAATAGGCCTCTGGTGGCTACCCTACATCAAACCTTGTCATGCTGTTTTTCAGTACAGCAGCCATTGCGCCTCACTCCAACCGCTGAGCAGCAGCACTTTTAAAAAAAAAAAAAACCCCAAGAACTCTGAGCAGCAAGAGTGGAAATACATTCAGACAACAGGGCTTCTGTACCACCTCCTCCCCTCCACTACAGCTCCAAAGTTCCCCTGAAAAGTCATTCTTGAGGATACAAGACTCTCGAAAATGAGATGGAATGCTCTTTGCTGTAGTATAGCAACAGAGTGGTATGTATCAACAGTAAACAGTGAGAACAGAAGTAGATCCAAATGGTGGTGTTTTTGAAGGGTTATGGAAATATAAGGCTACTTCAAGAGATTTGGACAATGTTGTGCGGTAGACGCTGTACACTGTTACCTCACTATTTCAGAAAAAACCCTGTAATTTTACAATAGTCCTGTAACATATGCTTCTTCATCTTCAGCATGAGAAAGAGTTTCAGTTTGAGACTTAGTTACGTGCACACAGACACCTGCTGCGTGATTTCTCCAATATGCCTCTTTGAACTTCAAGTGCCCTATCCGGAAGTGGTGCATACATTTGTATTTGTCAAAGTTCCTTGCAATTTATCATTCACTATACTGTATATAAATCATCTATTTTCTTACAATGTCTAAACGGTAAGTTTATAGTTAGAAATATGAACAAAGCTAGGTAGCACTTGATGACAGTTCCCACCCCCGTCTATGTCTCTACTAGAAGATGAAAAATGTATTCTCTTTTAAACTCTTACCTGCAGGAGGAAGGTAGAGTTCGTGTCCCGACAAAGGTCTGCTTCCTGCAATGAGTGGCTTTGATTGCTCAATGAGGCTGTGGCGTGCAGGGGGTGGCGGAGGGGGAAGCGAGGGTGGCGGGTTGTCAGATGCATCTTCGCCTGCATTGAGAGAAAACTCATTAAATAAGCGAATCTTCATTAATGCTATGATCAAAAGTGAATCTTAAAATTGATTTTCTCTGGCCAGGAAGAGAGGTGCTTCCTCCAAAGGTTTATCAAGGAGTTCAGTGACTCCAGTAATGAAATTGTACATCATAAAAGTGAGGCTTCCAAACAACACTTAACGCATGCTGTGAATGACCTTTCGCTGTATCGTTTTTAGAAGTTTTCTCTGTGTTGTAAAATTATCTGTACATCTGCATTTGAGCTTTCGTGCATTGTGGGTTCAATGATGAATGCAGGATGAACTTTCTTTCAGGTGATTATGACAGATCATAATTAAACCCACAAACAAGTACATATATGAATGCTCACATGAGCTGTAATTTTAGCACGTAGCATCACTACCAGGAAATGCTTATTGACAAGGCAACGGTCTAAACAGCAAGAAGAAACATGGGCAGGATCCATGGACCTGTCAGCTCAATTCACTGAGCCATGGAACATCTTCAGTGGGAAAATACAATGGCAACAAAACAAGAAATCTTAACGACTTTAAAACGAGCACCATAGTATAACGAAGTAGAATAAGGCTTGTGATGTCATTTCTTAAGAGCTTTTGAATTCCATTGTGCTTTTAAAACTTTGCTTTATGCAATAATCGTCTCACCTACAAATGTATTACTTAAGTTATAGCCTGGGATACAAAGAATTATGTAGGGAAGTCCACGTGCAGGAGAGTAGTTCTTCCCTTCTAAAAAGCAGCACCTAGTATCATGTTAGAGTCATTTGTATTAAACTGTTTGACTACAAGATATTTTTGCTGGGCTACATTTTATCATTTAAAATATAATATATCTAGTTGTATATGTATGTGTGTTCATTTATGTCAAGTTTAAACATCTACAATATACCTACAATTTGTGGCATTGTTTGGTCTAATATGTTTAAGTAGCCCAACTATGAATTCATAAACGAAGACAAGTTCATTATTCCACCAGCACTCCTCTGCATAATTTATGCTACACAAATAGATGAAAATAATGTATTACCTGGAGGGTGCACAAGCAGGTCATAATCGGAGGGAGTCCTGTTGACTACTGAGCCATGTTTTAAGTTTTCCCTCAAAGGAGGTCGGGCAGGTGGTAAAGGTACTGGAACAGTAGGCTCAAAGGTATCGCCTAAATAGTAAAAGTAGATTTCTTAAAACTGCACCTTAAAAAAATAATCTGGCTTTCTTCTAAGCATGGAAAAACAAAGTTTAGAAGTCATACCCATCTCTGGATGTTTCAATCTTTTCATCTCAGAGGCAGAATTGTGTGTTTCGCTCATTATTCCATTCTCGCATACACTGAAAGCAGAGATTGAACACCGGCATGTTAGTTATATGAAAACAGAAAAAGGAAATTCACCATAGATTATCATTAATTCATTAAGCCATTGTATTTCTAAAAATACCCTACTGGTTCACCTTTCTAAAATGGGGATGGGATCAGAAAACTAAAAACATTACTAATTAATAACAATTTTTAAAATTGAAATGGTTTTAATGTAATTTTTATTCCCATCTTTGCAAACCACTTCAAGGTGCATTTGTAACAGTAAGTGGTACAAAAAATTATTTATAAATAAATACTATCTCCAGAAAAGAATTCAAGAGCAATGCGAGGGTGCCACCCCCTTTTGTTTTGTACTTGGTTGGAAAATGGAATTTTTGCTGCCCAGAGTTAAGAGTCTGGATTGCCCCCCCTTCTTTTTTTTGCTTTTCAGAGTTGCTATACCACTCAGTGTGAGAGACCTAACCAATATAGGGATGACCCTACTTTGGCAAGAGATGGGGAGGGAGATGTCATGTGGCTGTTTGCATGGCATTACATTGCCCCAGATGGAGCTGGCTGAATGAGCTGGTTTTAAATTACGCTTAATGTTGCTATATAGTTTTCATGCCCTGTAACAACTGGTTGACTGGGGATTAGTTGAGTTATCTGTATGGCTGGAATAAATGAATGTGAGTGAGATTTGGCTGTGGAAGATGATTAAGGATGTATTTGGGAGTAGTTACAGGTGTAGGGATGTGTGGGTATAATGGAACTGCAGCTTCTATTTCAGATATTTTGCTTAGTTACTAATTATACTGTTTTATGTAGTTCTTTTGCAGTCAGTTGATTTTTATCTAATATTTTATGTTTATGTTCTGTTTTCCTGTTAATTAAGTTATTTTAAATGTGCCTTTTTTAATATTTTAACTTTGTACTGTAATGTTTTGTTTTATTTTGTAACGTTTTGTTTGGTGCCTTGATTCAGTCTGTAAACAGTATTGAGATTATTATGATGTTTTAAATATAGAGCAATGGAGACATTATTTAAGCAAACAAACAAGCATCTGGAGGATCACCTTTTAAAAAGTTATATTGACCATATCATATTTTGTATGAAAATGATAGTAGTTGGTATCACCCTAATTTGAACATTTGCATCAATAAATTAAAACATGAAATTAAACTGAAACTAGATATACTATCATGCCAAAGAATGATTCGACCATTGCCTTCAAACCATGCCTTACCGAATGTGAGACTTTATATTATGACAATGAGGTGACTGTGAAGTCAAAGAAACAGGATGGGATGAAGGAATCTTGTATTCATCTTCTTCTAAACATTCTCTTGGTTTCTCAGGGAGGGAATTTTTAACAGGAACAGGAGACCTCAAGAGAAAAGTATATCAAACCCAGATAAGTTTCTTTGTTATAGTAGCAGATATTGATGACATTTATCGGTGATTTAAATTGAGCTTTTCCCAGGGCTGTTAGGTTAAGATTAGCAGGTGGTCACCTAATAGGCTTCCCAACTGAGGAGGGATTTGAACCAACAACTTTCCTGGATCCAAATGCAACACTCATTGTGCCACAAATTTGGTGATTTTTCACACTGTATGTAACAAAAATATGCAATAAATTCAGCATAAATATGAATGGAATATGATGCTTATTGATAAGGTAGCTACATAACGTTTTCCCGTTAGAGCTAAGGAAAATTATGAGATTTCTGGTGCCCCCTCAGTTAGATGTTAGAAGCAGTGGACACTTGACATAGTAATTTTATCTTCAGCTGATGTCCCAAAAGAAATAGAGAGATAACGGGAATTTAATTTTTTTTAATCATTCATCAAATGATCCTGAAATATATAATGTAGGTGCCCAATATTAAATGACAGAGAGATGGCGTGTTTAGCAAGATCTGCACACTTCCATTTTCATTAGTTTAGGAACAAACTACATGCAAGTTTAAGAAAGCCTAATTCAAGAAAAAGAGAAGCAAAAGCCATTTTGGGTGGAGAAGAACGAGGGAAGGGTAAAATAGGAAATGCTTAGTTGTTTCCTATCAATGGCTTTTCCACTCAAATTTCTTCCCATCCTCTGTGCAGGGTGGATTCCAGATATCTGTTTTAACTATTACACTTCATTCAATGTACTACATAAACTGCATAAGGTGATTCCACATGTTCAACCTGGCCATTATGGGCAAGTTAAGAGTGTAAAAGCCAAGTAGAGTGAGAGTTCTACATATATTAAACATACTCCAAAGTTTGAAGAAGAAAAGAAGAAGAAAGTCAGTTAAAAGAACTCAAGACATTTAAAAAATGTGAAGCAGAAATTTAACTGACAGTAACAGAAAATGGATTTTCAGTAGAAGATGAGAATCTGAAATTTAAATATTCCTGCAGTGCAATATTTAACCACCTTCTGTAGAGGGAGCCAAAGCACATCATATATTCAAACAAAGAGGTTTCTGCCTCTTGTCTGTACCCCAACTAAATATTCAAAGCTAAAAGTGTTAGCATAATTTTAAATTTAATGTTGCTAACCCACAAAACCAGGAGCACAGGATAAAGCTTTGTGTGTTCCTAAAGCCCTTCCATTTTCTCTAGACTTAGTTTAAACCATGTTGAATCCTCATTTGCCTTCCTTAAATGAGGTTGACTATTACATCTGAATAGATTAATTTTTGTCTTAAAATCTAGTCTGTTTTTACATAACGTTAAGGGGAATTACCCACCTTAGTTCACTCAATCCAGTTTGGTACATCCAAATTAACTTAACTTTGAACCCATCAAATGATCTTATTGTTAATGAACTCAAAGAGGCTTACTAAAACCTCTTATTTATCTGATGGGATCTCATTGAGTTTCCTGGCATATATTGATATGTTAGGCTGCAATCCTACCCACAACTACCCTGAAGGAAGCTTTATGGAACTCAGTGAGACTTACTCCCAGGTAAATAGGTCTAGGATTGTGACCTTAACCATGTAAGACTGGTTTATTTAAAGGTGACTCCCATGTTCTGCAAATAGCTTTGGAAACCTCATTCTGCTTTAAAATCTCCCTACTAATCTATTTGCACCAGTCTTTTGAATTTCCGTTTAAGTTACAATAGCCATAAAATATTATTGAAGGATATGGCTAATTTTACAATGCTATTAATAAACATGTCAAGAAATGTTGTATGCTTTAAAATGTGCTCCTATTTATTTTAAGCATTTATATCCTACTCTTCAAAAAACCTATTAAGGGCAACTTATCAATAAACAAACCAGTATTGATTGATTGCACTCAATAATGTTAAGCCAATACAATGACTTCTAGGCATATTGAAGTTCCATAGTTCTACAAGAGAGTCACATCATATAGTTTGCCCTGGAAATGTTAATTGTTCTCCAATCAGCAGAAAAGGAACATTCCATCTTCCAAAGTTTTACAATGAGTAAAAGCTCATGGAAAGTGTTTGTTTGCCATTAACAGGATCTGCTGTGCTTAAACAGCATGGCACATCCAGCTTACAAAGTAACAAACATATAGCAAAAAGCCGTTTCTTGCAACTACTAACCTATGTATGGTGACACTTGTTACGCTACCACTACAATATTATATAACACTTTTGCTATTTATGAGGAAGTATCATGTTCTGAGAGCCTGTTACTAGGTCAGCAAAGCAAGAAGTTAAAACAAAGAACATCTGGAAACACAGCATAATATTAGTATGGTAAGAGGTTACCAAGAACAATAACCTAAACACAGAACACATTCCACACATGATGAATTGACTTTGTATTAATTCAATACAAATGTGCACAATAAAAGAATGTACATGCCGCATTATGACCAGTAGGAAAACAAGATAAAACTGTGACCATTAGAAGGCAGGGAAAGCATACTAATGAACCCAAGAAAACACTTCATTATTACTCATTTGAAAGAAGTGGTTTCTTGGGCTCATTAGTATGCATTTACCCTAAGTTCCCATTTGCCTTTGGCTAGTATCTGAGGCTGGGCTGCATCTTTCTATGAAATAAAGGAGGGGGGTGGGGAAGAGTGTATTTCTTGTTCAGTTATGAGAAGCAAACCATAGGATCTAATCGAATGGGGCGTAGAATATATTTGGTTGGTTTTTTCTCCTGGCAAAAATACCTCCTGGGGAGCTGCTTCAACAAAATATACAAAATGAACTGCTAACATGCTTATTTCCTCTATCACGATGAACTGGGAGTAGGGGAAAAAGCAGAGTAGCTCTGACAGGTCTCTTCATATTTTAGAGTATCTCCTTGAGAGGCAAATCCCATTTCCACCACATGCTAATTCTGGTTTTTACAACACCCCTGTCGTATGCGCCACCAAATCCATGATTTCCAGAACTTGACCAAAGAATGACGCTCATCTCCTGTATAATTGACACGTCCCACAATGGGATTTGGAGGAACTAGAGCATGCTGATTTTTTGTTTCGTATTCCTCCAGCAGGAAATTCATCCCTGGTTTCTTGTAAATATGCACGTTTTTAGGGTGTTTTAAAATCATGTACAGACAAGTATAGATTCAGGTAGGTAGCTGTGTTGGTCTGATGCAGTCAAAATAAAGAATTTAAAAAATAGTCCAGTAGCACCTTAGAGACCAACTAAGTTTGTTCTGGGTATTATATAAGGGTCTGGTGACTTCTGTTTCAGTGTATCTGAAGAACTGTGCATGCACATGAAAGCTCATACTCAGAACAAACTTAGTTGGTCTCTAAGGTGCTACTGAGCTATTTTTTAATTTTTTATTTAGACAAGGTACATTTTAGTTTTAACAGACATTTAATTTGTTGACTTAATCAAGCCAACTTTCTTTTCCCTCATACTTTGTAAGCAGTATTCTTAACTTTAAAATAAAACTTACTTCATATTCGGCAAGACTGAGGCAACTGGAGGAGGTGGTGAGAGCCGAGGTGGAACATCATACTCTTCATTTCCTAAATGGCCATTTGAAAATATCTGCACAAGATGGATTTCTCAGTATTATAACTCTTCCACAATGTGTAGGTAAAATCAATAACTGGATACATTATTTAAGTCCTTCCCCTCAAATTTAATGTATCTCAATCTGCTCTTTGTAGTCCAATACTGATATAGGTAAAGGTAAAGGGACTCCTGACCATTAGGTTCAGTCGCGGACGACTCTGGGGTTGCGGTGCTCATCTTGCTTTATTGGCCGAGGGAGCAAGCGTACAGCTTCTGGGTCATGTGGCCAGCATGACTAAGCTGCTTCTGGCAAACCAGAGCAGTGCATGGAAACATTGTTTACCTCCCGGCCGGAGTAGTACCTATTTATCTACTTGCACTTTGACGTGCTTTCGAACTGCTAGGTTGGCAGGAGCTGGGACCGAGCAGTGGGAGCTCACCCTGTTGTGGGGATTTGAACCACCAACCTTCTGATTGGCAAGCCCTAGGCTCATAATTCTATACAAATAGTGGTCTTCTTCTTAACTCCAGGCATTTAACACAGACTGGCCTAGTTTGCCATCATGTGAAGACAAACCACGGCTGAGTGTGTACAAACAAGCTTCTGAGGAGAATATTGTGGCCGCTTTGTTCCTCTCTGGTTGTTTTGCTGCTGTGTGTCACACTGAGCTAAGCCATAAGGCTTCATTTGTAATCTGAACCAGGACTAGTGGTTTAGCTCTCTCCAAAGTAACCATGAGCAAACCAAGCAAAGTAGACACAATCTCCTTCCCAGGAGGTTGCACCAACCCATGGTTTGGCTTAATCTGATGTGCAAACCAGGCCTATATATTTATTCTATGTTCCTTTCTGCCTTACTCTTCTCTCTTACTTAAATAAATGTATTTATAAAACAGAAAGAAATCTCCAGAAAACCACAAAACAGGAAAAAATGAAGCTATTGGCAATAGAAAGTCACTATCATAATAATTTGATTAAAGTTTTTAATAGTTCCCTCTTTTTTTGTAACCAAGTAACCCACAAATTAAAGTGTACAAGCTGTAGCATTACTTTAAATGAGTAGATGTAATTATTCTTTGATTGTTAACAGGATTTCAATTATATAGCTGTCAAATGGTAAGTAAAGAACAATAAAATGGCACTTGAACTTGTGGGCCACAGTGCCAGAGTGTGAAATAAAATTAAGCTTCATGCACCATGGATCTCTCACCTTGGCACTTTCTGAAGGCAAATCATGGCGTCTGTGTTTTCGCAGAAATACTGGATCAGAACTCATTCGACAGTGCCGACCATTAATATTTGAGCTTGCTGTGAGTCCAGGTTTGGGAGAACCATCTCCTCCTACTATTCGACATCCTGCGATATTATTTGTTCCGCACACCTCTCTGGGGCACCAGGCTTCGAGCGGCATAGGCTGGTCTCTGGAAGGCACACTTTCAGGATGATGCAAGTGTCTGCTTAACCTATTATCTGGTGGAATGGGCGGGGGTCTTTCTGGCGGAGGTGGGGGAGGATCTCGTACAGGCGGTGGTGGTGCAGGAAGAGGCTTGTCTTGCTTCCTCATCATGCATGGAGAAGACTAGGGAGACGCAACAGAAAGTAATATATCTATAACTGCATGCATTACAAACAGGTTTGCTTTATCCACAGAATTATCTTCAGAAAAAAACTAAGCAAGGCTTTAAAGTGCTGGGAAAACTATTCTCTACCTGCAATGTTTTTCATTTCCCACACAGCCCAATCCCAATTATTGCAAGTGAGATTGTAATAATAATTCTTGACAGGAAGTTGAAATTTAAAAGATCTATTTTCTTTCTCATATAGGTAGGAAGCGATATTCTGCAACTATGACATTTATTGGCAAGAGAATAGAATATTCTTTGCATGTTCATGCAGCACCAAACTTTTGCTAAGTAATAATGATCAGAGTATAACCAGTTGAAAACTTTAAAAATAAAAACCACTATAAAATAGGTAATGTGAGATGTAAAGTATTCATTACAGAAAATCAGCAATATACTCAATTCCCAGAATACACCATCATGTTCATCATCTTAAACTAATGTCTGTACTCACGGCTAAAGACCAGCAACACTGACCCTTCACTGCCAGTTTAAATGACAGTTAATTAAAATTATGATAGCAATGAATAAACATTTTATGTACTTCAGTTGTCTAAGCATTATGCAACTAGAATGAAATTTAATTTGCAAATAGAACTGCCAAGATAAAGGCAAAATGCTGATAAAAAGTAAATTGTAAGTTATCACTGGTCATCCACACACATACAGGCAGGCAGGCAGGCACACAGACTCACTAATACAGTTTTCAAAGCATGCCTTCAACATTCAATTAAAAATCTAATTATATCTGGTGTACCAATTACAACCCAAGTGATCTTGCTTTAGGAAGAATGCTTGTGCATAACTGTACTATTTTGTTGACTATTCTTTCTGCCTTAAAGAAAGCATATTTTCTGAATGCTTTCCCTCTTAAAGAGCATTTACAATTTGCAGAGAGTACAGCTTTTCCCTTTATGTAACTAAACCATGGGTCGCAAATTTCTTACCTTTATTTCAACAACATATGACAAGTACAAATTATGGGTGGTATTCATCCAAGTAGAGCAAAAGCTTCCAGCTGCACAATGGAACTTCATCTCCTCCTCCTCTCCCACTAAACCCTCTAAATCTGTTCTGGTGAACCCTCCAACTATCTGGAACAGATTTGGAGAAGGTGCAGAGTATGTGCAGGAAGAGGAGAGGGAGGTGAAAATCTGTTGTGCAAATGGAAATGCTTCTGCTAATGAAACATTTTCACTTGATACCACTCTATGCATATGGAAATGGAGATAAATTTGAAAACATTGCACAATTTAAATGTAAGTCGGATAATGAATTTTTCAAAGGCTGCATTTGCATGTAACGCAAAGCCAAGAACCATCGTTTATTAAGCCAAACTGTGCACTGGTACACGATTCTCCCTTCCTTCACGGGGCTAAACAAATCATGAAACAGGCTAGCTTAGTGTTGCACCCAAGGTTGTGGTTTGTTAGGGCAAAGCAAACCATGAGGTCAAATTCAGATGTAACACTAAGTTGGCTTCTCCATGGCTTTGGAAAGAGGTGAAAAGTGGGAATGCTTGCACTGTGTGCACCAGTATGTAGCTTGTGCGCAAATGTTTAAGCCAAGCTTTATGACTTTGTGTTATGTGTGAACACGGCCACTGTTTTTCACTTGCTATTTAGTTTTTGCACACTGGAATAATAAATAGTGAACTCTATTGGCATACTTAAGTTTTCATAGAAAGGTGAGATACAAGTAAAATTTGACACCAGCATTTCTACTGCGTTAAATTGGTATGGCATAGGATGGGGGATATTACAATAGAAATGTTGGGTTTTTTTAATGTCATAGGGATGCCTATGTCAAACATATAGCTTAGATTCTAATGCCCAACTTAATGTATGCTTTGTGGTATTTTTACTAACTCTAAGTCACTGGGGATCTTTACTATAGCTCTGCAGGGCCCCCAGGTTGACCATAAAAATTACTTTTAACCCAACTTTGGATGCAGGGTTATGTGGGTCTACAAAGTAGGAGAACAATATGTGTTTTTTTGTGGGGAGGGGTTTGAACAGTCCAGAATAAACTGTATTAAACTACAACTGGTTTTTTAAATTTATTTCCCTTTTTCTTACATCCTTACATCCAAGTGCATGCACAGAGGATAGGAACTCACGCTGTACTGCCTACTCCTGCAAAGGCAAATGAATATTGGATGGGGGAAGGAAGAGGTATGGAGTGACAGATGACAAGTCAGTTGAGTGATGGAAGAAAAGCAGAGAAGATCAAAGATGAAGAGGAGCAGCAGTGGAGAAAGCAAAAGGAAAGCAGTGGGGATGAGAATCTAAGTGTGAAAGAAAAAGAGGCAGAGGTAGACCAGTCTTCAGCCAGAGAGAACACTGTCATGCAACAGCAGTAGCCAGCACCAAATGACTGGGAAGCTGTAGATGCAATTATTACTGATTCAACAAGAGTGACACTGTTCTTTAAGGGTATACGAGTTATTTGTATTTGATTAGAATTGTTATGTTTATTATTTAGTTAATGTAGTCACTTGTGAAAAATCCAATAGATGTTCTCTCTCTCTATAGATAGCTAGACAGACAGTGATCAAGACAGAGAAAGGATTTGTGTGTTGACACAACAGTTTTCATCGCTGGCTTGAATCTCTTGTGGTGCACTGCAGCCTGCTCCTAAAGCAGCAGTTTGCAAGAATGGTGAAAGTAGCAAGGGCAACTTGAGAAGCCTTCCCATGTACCAGCAGGCATCACATATGTAAACACTTACGGATCTCATCTAATTTCTTGGGTGAGGGTGTCAAAACCATAAATGGTATAAATAAGACTACCTTTGGTGAGCTAGTAGGGCTGGCACAAGGGGATCGAGCAACTCCCTTTTGAATTAGATCTAGTCGAGGAGGCACTGGTGGGAGGCTAAGATGAGGTCCTTGGAGGGGTTCAGGAAGTGGCTTTCTTCTTTGTGCAAGTGGAGAAGATCCTGGAGATGTCACTGGGGAATTCTGTCTTTCAGTACACTGCAACAAAGTATTCATAAGGGTTATAAAACGGTTTTGGTTCTGTTTATTGGGATACTTTCATATACACTTTCAAATTCTTATGGCTTATGCACCTATCAACAATTACACTGGCTATATTGCTATGATCCCCACAATTTATTTTGAAGAATAAGTATTAAATAGCTATTTTCACAGCTAAATGGCAATTGCAAAGAAATGCAGCAGTGCTAGAATTTGGACAAACAGAGGAGATTCATATTATGAGGAAGATAAAGATATTTGCTCAAAGAAAGAGAAATAAAGACAAATGAATATAATTACAAATTGGTTCCATATGAGAGCATAAATATACCCTACACCAGGGCTTAACAAATACACCTGCTGGAGGTGGCAACTCTCACACTAGACATCTGAGTTCAGGGGAACGAACATTCTAGTGCTGAGGATTTTAGTTTTAAGATTATTTAAGATTGCTCAGTTGGGGATTTTTAGGGTAGTATATTGCTTCAAGTGACAACACCTGGTGCCTCTGTAGTTGAGTTCTACTCCAAACTCCAGCAATATTATCAAAATGCAGTTAATTTAATGCACGGCAATAATTTAATTTAACACAAATTTCTTTGCTCTTTTATATTACATTTTTTAAATGTTGATGTACTAATAAAGCCTACAAGAAAGACACTTTAGCTAGAACTGAACACACTTGAATATCTTGGAATTCTTAAATACATAATCCCATTGAAGTTTTAAGTTAATTAGAAATGAAACTTATTAGAGCAGTACTTGGTTTCTACAAGTAGGCTATACCCAAGAAATGTTACTACGTCTGGAACACCTGCAAAGTTGCTTGAAGATCAAATCCTTGGTATTTCACATATCAACAATGTGCATTCACTGCAATACACATTTTCATATATTCCACAGTGACAGACAGAAGCATAAACATTTAATTCACACACATTATCTGACACTGATGTCAGTTTTGAAGACTTCTTTTTAACCTGTGTTGTGGTTTTTGGAAAATATTTATTGCTGGAGATATTGCAGTGTGCATGCTATCCTTCACAATAAGTGATTATTTGTAATTTTGCTGAGCTTTTTAGCTCTTCAGTTCTGTTCCTGAGCAATTATTGCCTAACTAGTATTAATGCATTTAAATTGTTTCCATTATCACGGGTGCCACTGTGGTCTAAACCACTGAGCCTTTTGGGCTTGCTGATCAGAAGGTCGGCAATTCAAATCCATGCGAAGGGGTGAGCTCCCATTGTTCTGTCCCAGCTCCTGCCAACCTAGCAGTTCGAAAGCACACCAGGGCAAGCAGATGAATAGATACTACTGTGTCAGGAAGGTAAACAGCATTTCTGTGCGCTCTGGCTTCTGTCCCGGTGTTCCGTTGCACCAGAAGCGGTTTAGTCATGCAGGCCACATGACCCAGAAAGCTGTCTGTGGACAAATGCTGGCTTCCTCAGCCTGAAAGCGAGATGAGTGTTGTACCTCATAGATGCCTTTGATTGGACTTAACCATCCAGGGGTCCTTTACCTTTTTTATCAGATCAATAGTACAGTCGTACCTCCGCTTACATATCCCTCTGGATACGTAACCTTCGGGATGTGAATGTGGCAAACTCGGAAGTATTTTTCTGGGTTTCACCCCATGGGCATGTGCAGAAGCACTATACATGCTGCATGCATGTGCAGAAGCAGTCCTCTGGTTGCGAATTCCTCGGGATGCTGCTGTGACCTCCGGAACAGATCCCGTTCGCAACCAGAGGTACCACGGTAGTAGCTTATCAGCTTTAAAACCTACTTCTATGGATGAGGTAAGTATTCCACATGGCCCCTCTGCTCAAACTATCAGACTACTTTTTGAGTTTGAGCTATTGCCCTTGGGGGACGGGAAAATCTTACCTTCAGGAAGGAGGTGCCAGGAGGAGAAGGGATGGATGATAGGTCAGGTGAAACCCAAGAGGGCCTCCTCTTGGTGGCCAGCTTGCTTTATACACCATTTGTAATGAGATGCACAATGTCTCATGATATGGTGGCACATGATCTAGGAAGCTTTGCTGCTGAGCAAAGCCCCTTTCCATTAAGGTAAGCATTATTTCAATACCACAGTTGGGAGGGTGGGGCAGAGCAGAGGAAATCAGGCTGCTTATAAGTCAAGCCCTTGTCAAGCCCATCATGGTTTTTCAAACTTTCAACTTGAAAACAAGCAGTCAAACTGCAAGTTCAGCTGAGCAGCTGGGTGTTTGCCCATCGCTACCATTTTCTTATAAGTAAATAAAGTCTGTAAAACATGAAATACTTTACAGTTTCAGTCTTAAAACTTTTGCAATTGAAATAACATGTCCACACTTTGTTCTTTAGTGTTTGTACAGGGTGAATAGACTTTTAAGAATCTGCAGGCTTGAGCCCAAATGAGACTACATGGAATGGAGGCATAGAAAAAAGGCATAACTGAATAATCATCAGCTTTAGCATTCTGAATCCAGACCAATTACAGTAGCTAGACTTTAATATTGTATGACAACTCGTGCTTTGAGAGCATTTGCACATGGTATCTTGGTTGGGTTGATACAAATTTAACGTATCGGCTATTCCCATTAGAGTTTTCCTGTGAGAAAGATTGTCACTTCGGTTTTGTGATTTATTCCTCAGACATTACAAATTTGCATTTTTTGCATGAAACAGAAAAACATATCTGAACCTCATTACTTTCTCTTCAGACATTACAAAGCAGCTACTAAATATGCTCAAGGCAATTGCTCTGGTTCTGGCAAAAGAGTAGCAAACCAGATGGTATAAATGTTTCACAATGCAAAGTAATCTGGATACTGACTCGACATGACGCACAGCACCATGGAATTCCCAGATTGCTCTGAGACTGCAGCAAGTGGGTAGGGAGATCATGATTTCTGTTAAATGTTCTGAGCATGAAATTGGGTATTTCTGTCCGCAATTGTGCAAACTGTGCTTTAGAAGGTAAACAGGGTTCATTTTATTACTTTAGGAGAGGGGTGGGGAAACTCCATCCCATGGTCCAATCTTGGTTTGCTAGGGGTTCCAATTTGGCCTGCTAGGCCATTTCCCCCAAACTTTTCCCATCTGCCTATTTACTGACCTCACTGGGTTTAATTCTACATTGGCTGTGTATCCTGTCTGAAGGGAACAGGATCAAATAGCCAAGGCAGCAGAATTTAATCCCTGCTCATCAGTAAGCAGTAATGGCAGCAGAGACTCCTCTTTTCACACACCTGGTTGCTGCCTGCCCATTCACTTAAAGGAGAACAGTCAGCTGTTTTAAGCAGCACTTTTGCAAAGTGCTTAAAAACAGCCTCGACACTCCCATATCAGCCTCCAGAGCTATATTTTAAAGCACATGATATATCTGGAAATATATAAATATATATATATACCTTCCGCACAGAAGCTAATCGATTCATCATTAAAGATTCTTCTCTGTCGTCGTCGTCATCCAATTCGAGCATGGGTATACCGAAACTATCCATAATGCTGCAGCACCTTGTGTTCTCATCTCGGGGATCAAAGGGGTCCACAATTATGGGTTCAGTTCCTTTGATTTCACAGCGGCAGAAAGGACACCCCTGACCATCAGACTCCTATATGGGTGAAAAGCAAAGTCCTTAATTACTGAGCACTATTTTTATTTGTATGTATAGAACATTCCTCAAGAAAAGGGAAATCAGGGAAAAGAATTTTAATTGTTAATTAAAATTACTGCAAAAGAAAACCCAACTGAATGTCTGTTATTCAAATATAGTTCTGTTTTATTTTTTCTTCCAGGCTTGCCTCTTCATGAAAGTTCAGATATACATCTGGACTTGCAGTTCTCACTAACATGTTGCAGTATTGTGAATAACTACACTAATGGGAACCTCTTTCATTTGGTAGAATTCCAAAAATTAGGTCAAAAGCTTTCATATCAATGAATTTCCACAAACATTTCTAAGCAATTAGGGACATATTATCTAATAGCTTTCAAAAGGTCATATTTGTTTACCTTGCACATGAACATCATTGGTATTATGTTCCCAAAATTGTTAAGAGGAATAAACATAAATCACCCAATCTGTTTTTCTCCCTAAAGAAGTAAGTTTTTAATTGTGCATGGTTGTTTTTTACATTTATAAGTAAATGCAACACAAACATAAACAACCGGAGAAAAAATACATGTTTTAAAGAACGGAGCAAAAGAAAGGCAGGCAGGCAGAGAATATCACTTTACAGCATATTGGTACTATTTACTTTACAGTATAGAGGTACTATCTGAGGGGAAAAGAATAAATATTTTTTTGCTTTTTAACCACAGGCTCTATGCTTTATCAAGTGTTTTTGAAACTTCTTTCTTTCTCTCTTGTTTATTTATTTCTTTATCACATGCATCCTCACACCATTATGAATGTAAATTATATCTATTCAGTCAGACTTGCTTAAATAAGACAACATACAAGTGACTTTTCACACTGCCTACTGGAAAGGAGTCTCCACATTTTGTCAGGCCTTGATAACTTACCAAATTCTGACTCTGTCTTATCCTCAAAATCAGAATAGGAGTGCTGTCCTGTGTCTGAAATTGCTCAAAGCTTTAGAGGCATAGGGAATGCTTCTGAAGCAAAATGCAAAAAAATAAACAAACTCTAAACTTGGTCTCACTTTGTGCAGGAAGTAGTCACATTAAAAGAGGTGACTGTTACTAGCAACCTTGACAATGCATTTGTAGATACCCACTTTGGGCTTTAAAATAAGCAATGATTCTATACATATGAGTGATTAGCTACGCACACATATAAATTCAATTCAATGTTATAAGCATACAGGAATATTAGGGCAGTGCATGAGTATGAGAAAGAAACTATTTTTAAAAAAAACCAGGATAAGTTCCTTTTTCTTATCTTATACATTTTAATTTTTATTTCAATGTCTATTTATCCTAGTTTTCTCTCCATTAAAAAGTACTGAGAAAGTTGACATTCAGTACAGAATACCCAGAATAACTGAAGACATGGAGTAGCTTATTTTATTTAATAACGCAGATGTTTCACTATGGGAAAAGGGGACTGGCAATTTCTCCTTAGGCATGTCTAATGAGCCATTATGACAGCAATTAAACACTAACCACTAGCAAGTATCAACTGACATTGCTACAGTATGTTCCTTTCATCAACTCATTAATTATACAGAAGTTAAATCTGCAATGAAGTTTGATTAAATAGGAAATGTGGCTGCTAATGCAAGAAAAGCCCAATGCTCTCTTTCTCATTAGAATTCACTTATTAAGGGTTACACTTTAGCTGGAAATACACGATCTGTGTGTTTGGTTTGGGCCATATTCTTCATCCCCACTGAGGTATAGAAGGAGGAACAGCACTCCAATGGAAAGTTAACACCTGCAATTTGCCTCTGCACTTGTTTTTACAGCTGCTACACCTAAAGACCCAACAGAGAGTGCAATCCCCATTGGTGAAAGGAGGAAAAGGGATATTTTTAATTCAATTGCCACCATTTCTACAGCCTTCTTAGCATCCTTAATAGTTCTTTAGATTCCACCAGACAAACAAAAGCATGTAAAAACAGAGCCTAAAATTTATACACACAAAGATCACACCGGGTGCAATCTGAGAGAGCTTACTTCCTGAGAGTCTGCTAGAAGTAATAGGACTGGACTCGTTGGTAGCTTCCATCAGATTTAAGTGTGTTTAACTTTCTTTGAATGGTTTCTATTTTAAATGCTTAGGTACAATTTAGGTACAAGTAGGCAGAGTTCAGGCTTGTCAGATTAATTTTGCTTTTTCCGAGAATCCCAAGATCTACCAACAAGAGCCTGGCACAATATTCTAACATATAGCCTCTGAGCACGACTGAGCATAGCAAATTTTGTTTTCGTTACAAGAAACAAGCAGAACGTACTGTACTTTCACATAAACATTCACTCCTGGTTAAGTTTTCTCATTTTGAGAAGCCGAAAAAGTTAATTTGAAGTGAGTTGCTTCAAATAGCCATTTTGAGCAGGATTTAATCTCTGTCCATCAGCTGACGAGCAGAGGTTACATCCTGTTGCCTTGTACCCATGATCATGTTCTCTGCTGGGTATACAGCAAAAAGCCGTGGTGGAATTATAAATCCTGTCCATCAGTGATGTCAACTGATGGGTTAGTGTAGGCATGATTTGGGAAAAATAGACTTGCAGGCCAAACGTGGATCCCTTTGTGGACCATGAGGCCTGGAGGCCAGAGGTTCCCCATCCCTACAGTAAGGGTTCTCCAGATCTGGTAAAGCAAAGGAAGAGGAGTAGGAGAAAGAGAGATGATTCACCTAAGCTTCCTCCTCGGCTTGGTGTTTTATTGCTGGGTGAGTTATTTATCGCACAAGTTCTTAGGAGTGCTGATCGTTAGAGAAGTCTCTCTCTTCTCCACCCATACACCGCCACTTATCTTCTCCATCCAATAATTTTTAAACATCTTCCTTGACAAGCTTACACCTAATAATGCTGTTACTTATAATCCTCAATAGCTTATTGATCTAGCTTTGAATACAGCCCTGCATTTGTTTTCATATTTGATGAAGTGTGTCAAAGTGCAGGGCCAGATGCCCTCCACCCCATTCCATATAAAGAACATAACTGGACTGGCAACTGAAGCTTATTTCAATGCTGGTAACACGATAGCATTGTCCACAGCACCTGAGGCAGCACAGTAGTTTGAAGTGGCTATGACAGTCCATGTAGCATACACAGGTCTGCCCTCCAACAAAGGGAAATAGCTGCCACTCTGTACCTCAGCATCTGCCACTTGAGGTGACCCTTTCACATTGCCTGTTATAGGACTGGCCTGACAAAGTGGAAGCAAGTAGCAATATTTCAAAGCATATTCCTGAAGCCGATACTGCTGAAAAACCAGCAAAATGAACAGCGAAAAGAGGACTAAAACAAGTCGGAAAATAAACCTACCTAAATATATACATCTGGTGAATGAATACAAGAGGGAAAAAAACCTACCTGCCATGCTGTAAGGCAAGATGTGCACATCAGATGCCCACAAGGCTCAATCTTCACATCTTTGTCATTTTCTGCACAAATTTTACAAAGCTGGAATGTGGAACCCATTTCACAGTACAATTCATATTGTTCCTGAAAACAAGACTATTGCAGTTAAGTGGCTCTGTGGGATGGTAAGTTTACAAGCTTGCTTCTAACACAGTTTGAGGTTTTTAAGCAAAACAGTGTTTGAGATCACCTATTTTTGAAGACATTCATGTGACAGAAAATAACTCACAGTTACTGGCTACAGTTACTGGTTAACATTATGATGAAAACTATTTCAAAACTGGCATAACTTGAAAACAAATGGGGTTGGGGAGATACCCAGAAGACCTGAAATGAAACCTGAAAGCAGCAAAGGAATTATCTTTTTGTTAATTCCTCGTAATTTGCCATGGCAAGTGAAAGTTCATGTTCCAGCTAGAAAGTTGTGTCCATTTCCCTCTGTTGGGAACTAGAACTGCACAACAGCATGTATTATCGCTAGCTTATATTTAAAGTCTTTTCTAACAAAATCTTATCTTTGCCAAAGTTCTGCTCTTCTTCCTTAATTTTCCTGTCTTTTCATTTTTATAGTAGGTGAAATACCAATCAAAGATGTGTAAGGAAATTATAATCTTCCAATATCATCTTCAGCATGTCATCACTGCTAGAAGGATAATTATCTCCTAAGTGCTCATAACATTTGTACTCTAGGTGCCAATTCTTCCTTAAATGTCAGAAAAAATAATGTCACAATGCAAGCAGTAATTACAGCATTGTTAGCATACTCCACATAGCATGTACAGGCAACTTGGGGGGTATTTGAGGGTTTGTTTGTTATTTTTTTTTCATTTTAAGTGATAGTGATTTATCTTTACTATGAAAAAATACTTTGTAATGCCTATCAAAACATCAAGTCTAACAACATGACACATGCATCAGAAACATTCAAAATGCAGCCAGGGTATTGGCCAATCCACAACAGCTACAGAGAATGAATAGACCACCCTCATCAATATGACAAAACTACCAATGGATGGTGCAGAGAAGAAGAGATATGGATTTCTGGCCAACACTTCCTCATTTTTTTATCCTTTCGCCATATACGACCAAAGGTCACTCAAGCCCTAAGATGTAATTATCACCAAAGAGGCATCCAGAGGGGTCAAGCCACTTGATAAAAATAAATTCACAGGCTACCAAGATCATTAGGGTTTTAAACACCCTCCCTACTACAGTTCACAACAAACACACTAATTGCTTTTCATGAAGGTAACTGAATAGAGATTGTAAAGCAATTAATTATATTTTTGAGGTTAAGGATAATTTTATCTGGATGTTATTTTGAGACTATTGAATAATATTATATTTAGCTTAATTATAAAGTAAATCCAAACTTTTTCAGAGAGCCCCTATGCAAACTCATCTCATATATTTCCCACCAAAAGTGCCCCCACTCCCCCGCAACACCTCAATAGTGAGTGCCCATTAATGGATGTAAATGAACATCTTACTAAAATCTGGCATTTAAATCTGTTGCATTGTTTTTTATTAATGATTTTGCTATAAATGAAGTGATAATATGCAACATACCTGTGTAACTTTTATGTGATCATGTGGGGTGGGTTCACACAGTCCTGTCAGATCAGGATTATAACTTCTTCCATCTGGGTACAGATAGCTGGATTACAAAGAAATAAAGTTTACAATTTTACATTGCTTCTAAATTTTTTAACATTTAATCACACAATGTGCACTAACATGCATATAGCTACAAGTTAAGAAAACCCAAACATATGGCTTTCCTGAATGGATTTGATAAAACCGGGACTAGTTCACAAGGTCACTAGACAACACAAATCACAATAGTTACACCTGAAAGCATTCTACCACCAAGCTATTCATGAATGGTAAATTTAGATGAGGGTTCCAAAGGTTTTCTCACCCCACTCTAAGCATTTGCTTCCAACAACTTTTCCATTTCCTCTTGCCATTCATTACTATATCCATGTTTATGTTGTTTTTCTATATGCACTATCTGCTGATAATTGTAGCCCACTTTTCATTTCATTGTCGCATATAAGTTCACCCTCACCTCTTCTCTTCTCGTCTCCTTGTTTTACTGTTAAGTCAGCAACATAGACTCTAGTTTGCCTACATTTGGGACACTAAAGAAGAGTGTTTGTCTCCCTTTCCCTGCATGAAAATTATGAGCACTCATTGCAATAAAGATCTAATTTTATATTGGATAACTAAACGTTGGTCAGACTGAAATACAGTGGTATCTCGGGTTAAGTACTTAATTCGTTCCGGAGGTCCGTTCTTAACCTGAAACTGTTCTTAACCTGAAGCACCAGTTTAGCTAATGGGGCCTCCTGCTGCTGCTGCGCCGCCAGAGCACGATTTCTGTTCTCATCTTGAAGCAAAGTTCTTAACCCGAGGTTCTATTTCTGGGTTAGCGGAGTCTGTAACCTGAAGCGTATGTAACCCGAGGTACCACTGTACACTCTTAGGTGCATCCCATCTGTCAAAGAACCAAGATTCTGTATTTAAAGTAGTAAACATTTATACTCACAATCCCTCCCGGCTGCCATCAATCAGAGCTTGAAATAAAGGCTTATTATGAGGTATTGTCTGTAAAATATTTCCATCGCCAGTGACATATCCAATAGCCCACTGTCCTAGTCGAGTGCAGCTTAATCTGAAAATGTAGCTATAAGGCAATGTTACAAAAACACACTTAACAACATACGAAAAGATCTCCTGGATCAGGCCAAAGGCCCATCTAACCCATTGCCCTCCATGTTGTTTCACCCTCAATTTCCATTAGCTCAAAAATATGATGGGAGATGTGGTCCAGCAACATCTGGAGGGCCAGAGGTTAACCATCTCTCCACTAAAGCTGCAGTATGTGGTGCCTATAGCCCACCCTCTACATGAAAAACATGGGTCCTGTTAAAGGTTAGGAAAACTTTCATTTAAAATTAGAAAGAGGGGTAATAATCCCCCCAGTTCTGAAAGAAAGGTAAAAAAATCTGAAAGCAGCACATTTAAAAGGCTCAGCACTTAAAACAAGGGATCTATGTTTATTAGACTTTACTATGTTCACATAAGTGCATTTTATAATTTTAAAATGCAAATGCAATCAGGTGAGCAACACCAGGATTGCAGGTTTTTCCAGTGTAGCTAGGAATCTCAGAAAATATACCAAGTGAACACTGGTCAAAATAGCACAAAGAGCAAAAGGTTTTACTGAACACAAAGGTCAAATGACCCTCTTCTAAGAAGTATTAGCAAAAATGCATTACCTTCCTGGTTTGGTGCTGTATTTTTGTAACCGTGCTTTAACTTCATCGTAAGTCAGAAATGCCATATATCCAGGATGCGTTACAGCTAGGAAGTTCCAGTTTCTTAATATTGAACCCCAAGGCTAAACACAAAGTGAAAAAAATACTGTATTTTTGTCCCATCTTTCCTCCAATCATTGTGGTGGCATACACTGCTATTTCCCCACTACACTTGTGACCATGTGGGGTAGATTAGGCTGAGAAAGAGGGCCAGCTTGAATGTAACAAGCTTACTAAAACATGCTTTTGTAAGTCAGGATTTTGTTCCATGATTTGGTAAAGCAGGCAATGAGCTTCATGCCTGTGGGCTCCCTGCATTTCTCTCTGTGTTACTGGTTTCTGCCATGATTACTTTAAATCACAGTTTATCATTTTGGAAATAAAGGGAAAGTGCTTTAAAGTAAGCATGATTTTTAAAAAACACTGAAACCAGCACATGAGGGGACGGGGAGCATGAGAACTGTATCAATCTTAATAAATCATGGTTTATTAAGCCAGCATCTTTGTGTCTAAACCAGCACATAGTGACTGGGCCAAGGCCACTCAGTAAACTTCATGGCTAGATGTGAATTTTTGCTCAGCTATCCTCAGTCCAAATTCAACATTCCAGACAGTCACCATATCAAAGTGTCTCACAATGTATGCAAGATATACTTCTGAAGTCTATAGAATTATTAACATAATTCATTCAATGTACGTGATTAACTTTGATACAATTTAACTGGGGGAAACATGCCTAGGTTCATAGCAGGTGAAGAAAAGCCTACTGTCAGCTAAATATAAACTGTTGCTCCTCATGAAGCAGCTATCAAAACTTTGATCTTCAATCAAAACTATTTTTCTCTCTCTCTTTATATACTGCCTTTAATAAAAATAATATTAACATGATTCACAGTACAATAAAACAATGCAATAAAACATAATAGAAAGCTGTAGTACCCAACATCAGGGGCCCAAGAATACAGAAGCAATTTCTATAATCTTACCTAGTGTTAAGTATGCAATTTATCACAACAGTGAGGCATGGTAAAATACTAAACCTGCCAGTTATTACAATTGTTATTTGGAGGTATATAGAGTTCAAGAATATAAACAGATCCTATCTCATATTCCCATACCCAGATGTTTAATTTGACTGAGTCTTTAAGCTGCCCTCATAAAGAGAAGATTTTTTTCTTTTCTCATCTGTACTCTCTCCTTACACCATTATAATAAGCAAACTTTTTTTATATTTAAAAAGTTAAGCCAAAGATAATTCACACAAATAAAGTTTCTACAATAAACCAAGCCTCAGCTTTTATTCAGTTTTAATCAGACTTTTTTCTTGACATTTTCTCTGAACAAAATGTGGCAAAGATTTTTGTTTTTAACTGAGCAAAATGGCATATTGACTTCAACCATTAGTGAATGCTTTGTAGCGTTTAAAGAAACATACTTGGTTGTAGACAACATAGGAAGAGGATGTTCAATATTATGCTGAATATTTTACCTGGAATAATCTGGTGAAGATATCAAATTCAAAGACTGAAATGTAGTCATTGCAGGTTAAATCAATAGTAGATTTCAAAGCCATTGCTTCCAAACCAGAACTAATCTGATGCACTTCATGCAGACACTGACGGAACACCTTCCAAGGCACTATGGTTCTGTAATGCAAAAACAGTATTGAAGTGTTACACAATATGCTACCATTGTCTAAGTAACATCACATCCTGTAAAATCAGAGCCATGTAGGTTCATGATTACACATCATGTTCGATTACATCTCCAGGTGAAGGGTTACCAGCAACCTTCTTCTGGCAGCACCATGGCCAGAGCAAGGAAAGAAGATAGATGATGGCAGGAATTGGTGTCTGAATGGCACAGCAAGATTTTAAGTTGGCACCGGCGGGAGGGGAGAGCACCATTCAAGGTCTACTTCAGGGGGCAAAATTACTTGTGTCAGCACTGCACATGGCTCTGTGTCTAGGTAAAAGATACACAAAGGCATGGATATGTGCCTTTGGTGGTGGCAAGCCACACTTTGGAACATACTGGAAATATACCTGGCCAATTCCTTTTTGTAAAAAATTGATTGCCCAGAAAAAAACATTTAATACTGGTTCACAGCCCTTTAAATAATGTGCAGATTTTGGAGGCTTCTTAAAATTGGTATCTTCACATAATTCTTTTCAAAATATTTTCCACTTGTATGATAATTATTATCATCCCTGTGGTTTCCAGTTTATCGGAATGAGTACTATTGCTCAGATCCCAGAATGCACCACCCGCAAACGAGAGGTAGCAATACATTTGGGGAAGTCCCGAGGTTTGCAGAAGGAAAAAAAACTGAAAGTAGGGAAGGGGAGAACCCAACACAGCACCAAGAACTCAGTGAGCACTGAAGGATGACTGACTATTGAGGGAGGATGGAAAACTGGATGGAAGGAGAAAGCAATGGAGCATCTTGGGTGAACAGCATTGGCTGACTGAAGGAAACACTGTACAAGAGCAGCCCACACTGCAAAACTGTGTTTCAGGTCCCATTTGCTATTCCTGTTATTTGTTCACACTTCAACTCTCTGACACTAGAGTAACTAAAATGCTAAATAAATAGATAACAATTACTTAAGACCACCTGAAAATGTGGACTACAGGGGGAAATATTGCTATTGGCTTCAAAGTTAATAGCCCCACCTTTAAATAATATTTAAAAATAGCTCAAACCAGGAAGATGCTGCCCATCATGATTCATATCCAGACAGTAGCTGAATGCAAAATTTTAGCAGTATGCTTTCTGGAGTCTTAGTGGCATCTCAGCAAATTTCCCAGCTAATATATAGTGTAGATTTTTTTCCTTTTGATTTATTACCACATGTATTCTTTCCTAATATACCCAGATGTTTCAATAATGCAACTTGCTGAAAGACAAGTAGGTAGATAGGTTGTAGGGTGTGAGGTTTTGAAGAGCCTATACTCAAATAGTTACAGTCACAGACCTGCCATAAGCAATCTTGCCAAAGGAATTTCCTACCTTGAAGCAAAAATAGCTCACAGGGAGTGGCTGTGTAAGAACTCTGTGGTAAACTTCACAGAATGAAATTTTAGATGGGATCAAACTCGCAGAGGTGAGCAGGTTCATTAATATATGGATTACACAGAAATTAGTTTCAGTCTTCCAGATCATGCTGAATTTCAACACAACCTTCAGCACTAAATAAGGTCATAATCACTTTTCCTAGTACAATAAAGGCACATTTTCTTACTTGTGCAATGTCAACATGTTACCTTATATATGGACTGTTGTTTTTCAGGGGTATTATATTTTCTGAGAATTTTAATACAGTATTTTTGTGCATCAGGAAATGTAATACTTAGATAACACCTGTCATGATAACTGTGGAATATTTAAATTTATTACCTTATAAAACTTGTTATCAATAATCACAAACCCACTCCTACCATTTGAATACAGGTACTGAAAATGGACCTTTCTGTTCAAGCCTTCCTCAACAGCTGACCACTAGAATGTACAGCTTCATGTTGTTAGTTTCAATATTGTTAGTTTTAGTAATCTAATTTTCCTTTTGAACTTTTTAGATCTTATTATATCTCTTGATTTTCCTTTTGAACTTTTATATCAATTACCTGAATATCAATATTGAGTTTTATTGTGGTTTTTTTTAATCTCTGACTCCTTACTGTAATCTGCTTCAAGATATACAATTATATAGCAAATTGGTCTAGAAACAAAGGCTAGAACACAAGCGGCAAAAAATGTGTTGTGAATGTCACTGAGTACCAGTTTAACATGCCTACTGTGTGGTGGCGAGGAGGTGTCTCACTTCTCTTCCTCCATTGCATCCTCAAGTAACTGTCCAGCACACCTTCTTTGTACTGTCTGGGGTCTGTTAACATCTACTTCAGGCAATTAAGTCTGCTATAATAGTTCGCAAGGCACTTTAGCCACATCTGGTCAAATCCTTACGTGACAAATGTCTCTTATGTACTTGTCCTTATACATAAATGTTAAAAGGATACTAAAAAGGGGGAGAGAGAGAGAGACTTCAGGATATCCTTGGGAATCATATGCAACACAAAAAAACTTTTGCAAAATTGACTATACTTACTTCTCACCGAAAAACTTCTTCCAGAATTCTGCAGCATCAGCTTTTGTGATACGAAAGTTGTCACCCTGGAACTGACCATTAGGGAAGATTGCCTTGATTTCCGCAAGCATGTGACTGAAGATGAGGGACAGCTTTGTAAGATTTCGCCTTTCAATGAAATAAAACAGGGGGTAAACTAAGCAAAATATACCAAAGAAGTCTCTTGTTTGAAAGGAAAACGAAGACCTGAATTTCAAAAATTCAAAAAGCAACATGTGTCCCATGTTTTCTTATTTTTAAGACCACATTCATACCACAATTAAACAGTGCTTTAGAAAACATTTGCTAAATAATAATGCCACTTCTTGGGTACATTTTAAGGTATTTAAATAAAAACAAAAGCCATATATTAAATTTGATAAATTGTTTATGTAGATTCAAAAATCTTCAGTAAGGGAAGTTACTGCACTTTAAAAGGTGAAATATAGCCATATTCAATGCAGTTGTTTCATAAAACTGTTGAGGTTATGTCATAAGAAACAGCAAAAATTGATAGTTCTATTGTTACAAAACAATGCCTCAAGTAGCCACTGTAGGCAATTAGCACCATATAAGAGAAGATTTGTAAGACATAGTAAGACAAAGGAAAACAACTTGTTGATACTTATTGAATGATAGACAGGGAAATCAACTGGTTTTACAAAAGGAAGTGAAATTTATTTTAAACCACACATTAAGTTATTCTAAGGGCAAAACTGCTTTTCACAAAGTTCTTTCTAGCATAGATTTATTTAATGTACGCATAACATTAAATTTCACATTCCTTCCTGCAGAGGCACAGTTTACTTTCAAATAAAAATGAAACATGTTCCAGGTGTAAAAAAAGAAATGCAGGCAAAAATACTTTACTAGCCCATTTACTAATGTCCACATGCATGTCACAGGTCAGATAGTGAGCCTAAAGAGCTACTTGTTTTGATAAAAATTGCTAATTGTCTTAGGCAAGTAGCAAATTACAAAGTTGGCCTTGATCTCAGCTTTTCAACAGCCTGCAGTTTTCAGTGATTAACACACAGGGAAGCTTCACAGACTTGTATTTTTCAATGTACATAGTACTTTACACGCAGTAACATTAGCAAGGAAACAGAAAAATTCTGACCCCAGGGAGCACACAGTCAAAATTTGGGAACCATTCAGAAACTGGAAAAGCAAGGTTGACAATTTAATGTCCCATGATGACTTTGAGTGATGTTACATTGGGGGTATTGTGATTAATTAAAGTGACAGGCAGCTCAGAGACACAGACCCTGAACAGGGAGGCCCAAGGCTGGCATCAGAGTGAGACCCTGACAGATGGCCAATGATGCCTCTCCTGTGTGCGTTCGAACATATATTTCTCTCCAAACTGGCACACTTTTCTTATTCAAAGTAGTCTGTGGTATGTCATTGATATTTGAAGTGTATGTATTATTAACTTTGTAGTGTTCTTCCTTTTCGTTCTTGTGTAAATTCTATTCTTTAATAAAGTTTGTATTTTTAAAAAAGGTCATCTTGGTCCACTAACAAAAGGAAAAGTGCTAAGACACGTCCTAAACAATGCTTGTATCAGAAACTCAGTATTAATGAAATAAGTTACTACCCAGGAAAAGTTCTGGAGCTGCCTGAGCCCCAAAGGCAAATTTAATTAACATATTCTGGTAATGCTCAAAATTGTGTCTGACAATATCCAAATGTAAACCAAAACCCAACCCTCCAATTCAGTAATTGTCATACCAAACTGAGCAACAGTATCTTCAAAGGTGCCCAAATCAATGAAGTTTCCAATCAATGGTTTACAAACACAGACCCAAATCTGCTCCTCTAGCTCGGGAACTGTTGTATTTTGTTTTGATTGTTTTGATTCAAAATGGTATCCAGTGGTTTCAAAATGTAGACAAAAACAGCTCTATCTTGGGAACCGTCTGTGTGACAATACATCAAGAGGCACCCAAGTTCATAAAGGACAAACTACTTTCCAAAATATATAGTAGATAAACAACATAATTAAACAACTTAGTTAAACTCAGATAGAAAAGAGGTGAGAAACAACTAGGTGCTGAATAAGTGATATCAGTGACTAGATCTTCAGCCTATGTAAGCACAAACAACTATTTCTAAATGTCAACCGTGGCATGCCCTGACCCGCTCTAACAGCTAGAATTTCCCCCCAAAGTGTGTAACCATCATCTCCTACTTGTAGATGAAAACCACTGCATCTTGTTTGTAACCTCAGCAGATAAGATAAATGATCTGTTATCTTTCCCCTGACAACCTCTTAATATTTTCTCTTTAATATTCTACTCTAGGCTAAACTTACCCAGTTTCTTTAGCTCTTCTTAAGATTTGCCTTTGAAACATTTATAGTCTTTTAGAACTCGTCTACTATATTGTTTCCAATTTGCCAAAAATATACACAGCTCCACGTGGTATTCCATATGTGGTCATAATTTGAAAGGATGCTCTTTTCCTTCCTTGTAATGCCTCTTCCCAAAAGCACTAGAAACTCCAATGAAACACAGATGAAAATGTATCTGCATGCACAGACCCTAGAAGAGGCATTAGCAAACTTGGCCCTCCAGATGTTTTGGGACTGCAACTCCCATCATCCCTGACCACTGGTCCTGTTATTTAGGGATGATGGGAGTTGTAGTCCCAAAACATCTGGAGGACCGAGTTTGCCTATGCCTGCCTAGAACAAGTGTTTCTGATCAGACCACAAGCCAAGCTGGTACTCAGGAAAGGGTGGGGAAGAGACTTCAGAGCAGGAGAAAGGACAGCTTCCCCCCCTCACTCGCACCCAAACCTGTTTGTCCAGAAATCAAAGGGGAGCAGTTATTCAGCTTCAACACAGCTCTTGATACCTATCTTTAATATTCATGTCTATGTAATGCATTTCAGCAACACATAACCTTAATATGCCAATAAAGTACAGTGGCACTTCGGTTTACAAACTTAATCTGTTCTGGAAGTCCATTCTTAAACCGAAACTGTTCTTAAACCAAGGCACAGTTTCCCTAATGAGGCCTCCTGCCAACCAGTGCCCTTCCACTGTTCAGATTCCATTCCTAGACCGAGGTAAAGTATGCAGACCGGGACACTACTTCTGGTTTTGTGGAGTTTGTAAACCGAATCATTCGTAAATAGGACTGTTCTTAAACCAAGGCACCATTGTATACTGGATGCAATTCAAGGAACCTGCACTAGCCTACAGAGAACACACATCTAGCATGCAATCCCCTTCCTTTAGTCCTGGTGTTTGCAGCTTAGCTTTTGAAGCAGACTTTAACTTGGTTGAATTGGCAAATATAACAGGTTCTCTTGAAATACCTTCTTCCCAGACTCCAGCTCTGGTCAGGATGGGACTCACATCTATCCTCCCTTCTCCCCTCAGTCAGGTGTTGTCTGTGCTCTGCACTGACCAACTAAATCATTTTATTTCACCCTACTACAACCACAACCTGAAATAATATACTGTGGGCAGGAAGGAGGAGAGCACCAACATACATGAATAAATACCTTTAAGGTATCTGCAACAAAATATCCCTGTGTGTTCAAGCCTTCAATAAAAGGGTTCATGTTCAATACACAAGCCAGTCTGGAATTCATAGGGTAGAGTGGGGAACCCCAGGAGGGACAAAAAGGCCAGTTTTTCTTCTCACCCTCTCCTAACCTGTCAATGGATTCTCAAGTGACTTCTGTGGCCCGGAGTTACTATCCTCTAGCTTAGGCAGGTTTAAGAGCTACAGCTATTCATGGACTGGAATAGATGGGACTTCAGTTGTCCATGCTCTGGTGACCTGCTTAGATTACTGTAATGTATTCTTTTGTGGGGCTGGCCTAAAAGTCTGGAGGCTGTAGCTAGTGCAGAATATGAATGCTTGGTTGGTAAGTGGGTCAGCCTTATGAGATCATGTGTCAGCAATCCTGAATCATGCACTGGGTATGCAATTGTATTTAAATGTTTTTATATGTTCTATATGTTTTCAAATATGTTTTTATTTTATTTTAAATTGCATTGTTTCAGCATTTTGGTGTTTGCTTCCTTCCCTGGGCTCCTTTGCGTGGAAAGGCAGGATACAAATTAATACTAATAAAATAAAATGCAGCTGCAATGAGGCAGAAGCAAAAAGAACAGAAACAGAATTATCTAACTGCAAAAGTCTAGTTTAATAAATATATTTTAAGGAGGTACCAAAATACCATTGGAGATAGTGCCTGTCTAAATTTTGTGTGTGTGTTTGTATAAAATAAGTACTACAGATTACATTTAACTTTCTAATGAAATAATGGGTTCTTATTACAACTCAGTATTTTGATCTATATATCATGAAAGGCACATATGTCTTACAAAGCTATTTCAGGACCAAAATCCCACTATTCTTTATTATTTTCACCTGTATGTTTCCCATCTTCACACATATGAAGTGGTCTGTCTTTTCTTAATATCATTCTGAAGACTTCAAAAGTGAAAGGAAATAATAGAGCAAGTTTTCCTTTCATCATAAGCATCTTGTTGAATACTGCTCTTCAGTAATGAGCTTGTAGCACTGATTAAAGTGGAAAATAGTAGTTTTGTTTCTTTTCATAAAGCTGAAAGGAAAACCCTCCTACACTCTCCTTCTCAAGACTGAATCCCCACTTTGTTGGTCAAGCATCTTGCTCACATTATGGAACCTTTTTTTACAGATACAGAATCTCCCACACAACTTCTCACAACACTAATTTCTTATAAGCCATATTACTCAATGTAAGACTGGAGAGAAGGCCTGATCTCCCCATGAGGCTATGGGCATTTTCATTAAGGTATTGGTATGAGTCATACAACTAGATAATCCAAACTCAGCGCAAGCATTCAGCATGGTAACATTGCTGGCCATTTGGTCTCTTAGCATGTCAAATTGTAATTGGCCAGTACAAGCCACTACCTCTGAGCCACTCACCTTCTTCTCAAATAATCACAGGAAATAAGACAGGAAATCTATTATCAATAGACTGCAACTTGTTTAACTGTGGGCATTAGTCATACAAGGAAATAATCAGACACAGGTCTACATGCTGCAAAAGTATTTCACTTGATTGTTAAATGATGTGCTACTTGAGACTGCCTACCAACTTTAAATATTCATACACAACAAATATTCCACTTTTTGCAAATCATGATAAAAGCTGTGAATAAGGCACTTGCTTTATTTCCATTTCACTAATCTTCATATAAACTTCTTCTTCTATTCCAAACCGAACATGTCAAAAACAAAATTTCCCAAGCACCACGTTTGTTTGGGAGGAATATCTATGTATCCCATTTACCAAGAGTATCTATGTATTCACAGTGCCAGAGCCAACACAGCTTACTAAGCAGTTCCCAACATCTTGATTTCCTGACTATTATGAAAATGGTTCAGATAAGAGTCTTCAAACTCACAAGGCATAGTGTCTACTGTTGAAAGGGCAAACTATACCAGAACTCAAGTGAAAGATGTGTAAGCTGCAATATGCTACCAATAATTTAAGTCAGTATGACCATTTTTCTTCTGAAAGCTGCAGTGCATTATATTCCCTAACACTCTTTCCTCAGATTCAAAAGCCCACAAATAGCGTGTATAAATGAGTTACATCAGATGCTTAAGATGGAAGAAATAACGACTAGAGAAAAAGCTACAAGAAATGTATGCAGGTAATTAGAAATTCCACTGCAGTAGGAATCCCATGTCCAACCACAAATTATATGTCTATGAAAAAATATTCTGTGGGCCTGCAGAATGCTCACACTCTTCATTTGTTCAAAACGCTGCTACTGCTGAATTTGCATTTTGCTAAGCCATTCCTGCCTATCATTTACCTGCAGTGGAGTTGCTTCCAACAGCGTCACTTTTCCAGCTTAAGATTTCAGAAACCTGTAAAGGCTTGATACACTTATCTTCACACTACAGGTCTATACTGCTAAGACCCAAATACATTCCACTAATTTGTTCTAGGCAAGGTTTTTCGGTTTATTATTTTATTGTTATTTTAAATGTATCTATCTTTAAAGAACCCACTGAATTCAAGGGACTTACCTGGGAATAAGTCCTACTGCACTAAATGAGAGTTTCTTCTGAGACATGCACGTAATTGTGCTGCTATGCTATCAAAGGGAACAAAATGTTCAGATCTCTACATGCAATGAAAGGCCAATTCTATACAGTGGTACCTCGGGTTACATATGCTTCAGGTTACATACGCTTCAGGTTACACACTCCACTAAGCCAGAAATAGTGCTTCAGGTTAAGAACTTTGCTTCAGGACGAGAAGAGAAATTGTGCTCCGGCGGCACGGCAGCAGCAGGAGGCCCCATTAGCTAAAGTGGTGCTTCAGGGTAAGTACAGTTTCAGGTTAAGAACGGACCTCCGGAATGAATTAAGTACTTAACCCGAGGTACCACTGTACACACATACGGCAAATTCCTCAATAATGTTTTAAATTGGACCAGGATCCAAAGAGCCCTACACTGGTATGGAAGCACTTGTGTGTACCTATGGGATAACTGCCAGTTTTCCTTTCCAGCTGCAGCTCCTCACAACTTGACGAATATAATTCACAGTGTGCATGTGGAACACCACACACAGCACATTTCCAGCCTTTTGTGTTCAACAGAAACCTAAACAAGAAGCTATAGGATAGACCATTTTGCTGAGTTTCCCTACAGAAGAGAAACTTTAAAAAATCCCCCATACAGATGCAACAGCAGGTTTATATCTAATGGGAGTGGGGGTTGGTTGCCTTGCTTATGCTTATCTTATTAGTATCTCAGCATATAGTATTAGGGAGAAAAATCTAAGCACAAGCTGCTTGACAGTGGAATGGTGATGGACTCTCCTTTAAGCAGAAGTTGGATGGCCATCTGTCATGTGTGCTTGAGTTGAGATTCCTGCAATGCAGGGGGTTGGACTAGATGACCCTTGGGGTCTCTTCTAACTCTACAATTCTACAATGCTAACCATAAAAGGAATGCATACATTCCATACAGATACAGTACAGAAAGTGGGGTGGGGTGAGCAGGGACAGGAAAAAGAAAATCATTAAGTTCTTAGCAGTAAGACTGACTTAATGTATTTAATTTATGCTGCCTATCTTTAAGGTTCTCCCAATCCAAATATTATCAACAGCTCTGAAACATAAAAGCAACACTCATTTATTAAGTTTAATTGAAGATTGGATACATTTTGATTAGCTTAAGGGGTTTTAGAGGAGGCACTGTTGGTGATTATTTGCACTGCAGACCTTAAAGCATTTACTGTTCTAATCACTGAGAGAAGGAACTAGACCTAGTGATTTTATTCATAAACGGCACCAGCTCATTGCTTCTGCACTGCAAAAACAGTAGTTAACTGGTAATCTTAATAGCTAACTTGGAGGGGAAAGGGTTTAACTCCACAAGCACATTATTATTTATTGCTCTTATCATAGAACAATGATTAGGCAGGTTGTAACATAACCAGATTACACACTATTTGGCATCAGAAGGATCACTGCTTGCAAACAATGTGGTGCTTTTAAAAAGGAAAAATATAGTTTGGGCTACATGAACAACAGGGATAATGCAAACATTTACTGTATAGGCGACCACCTCTCATCTGGATACCAACTGAGTCAACAACAAACTATATCACTAAATGTCTCTGATCAGCACTGATTTTATTATGAAGCTCTGAAAGCCATTGCTGTTCATTCTTCACAGAGTATTAATTAATAGGATTAAAAGTAAAAGATCAATACCATCAGGATGTTGCTTCCTTTTCATATTTCAAATAAAATCTGTGTCTACTCTAATGTTAAGGCAGCATGCAAACAGCTTCTCTGGAACAAGGATGGAGAAATGTGATCCTCCAGATGTGACAATTGATCATGCTGGCTAGATCCCCAAAACTGGAGGGCCACAAGTCCCCTGTTCTGGATTAAACTTACACACACTCAGGAAATTTTGACAAAATGATGACACCAAAATACATAATAAAAACAAAAGCAAACCAACAACACCCACAACATGATCTGAGAAACATATACCAGGAAGAATCCGAGCCACTGTGCATTGCATCAGCCACAGTTTTTTAACACTTCTCAAAGGCACATCCAGAACACACTGCAACAGTAACATCTGGAAATGGCCAAGGCATGCAACATTATGACCAGATCCGTCTTCTCCAAGAAAGGGTGTAGCTGTAGTGGGTACAATACCCAAAGCAGAACAAAAGCACTCCTGGCTACAGCATTCACCTGGGCATCCAGAAGCACACCCAAACTGCAAACCTGATCTTCTACAGGGAATGCCACTCCATCCAGAACAGTATGTACTCCCACTCCAGATCAACTTGTCTACTGGCCATCAATACCTCTCTCTTGTCTGGATTGAGCTTCCACCTGTTAGCCATCTACAGTCCATCACTGCATCCAGGCAATGGTTAAAAGGTTCTATAATCACCTGTGTGTTCCTTCATTGCTGTTTTAGTCCTCTTCCTAAGCATTTCATTAAATAACCAAGGAACAGAGTTCAATACAATGAGCAGGGGCACTTGGGAGTGATCCTATCAACCAATCCAGGTCATCTTCCCATTCCTCAGATCAACTAGGGATTTTGTGGGATTGTCAGCTGAATTGGCTGGCCTCCATGTTTTCAGATAAGAATCATTTCCTATTCTCTCTTTTATCAAACTCTTTAACAGCAACTAAATATGCTTAAATTAGCAATTTTAAGAAGTACATTTTAACATTAGAATGCACATAAAACACTCAGGCAATAACTTCATCACGGCAGTATGCCTGGACTTAAGGAGGTTTTGATTTGTTTTTGTCATAGACTGCCAGAATATATTTCTGAAAAAGACAGCAATGTGCCACTTCAAAGTACTTCCTCTTTTAAAAAAAATTCTACCAGGCTTTCATATTTCTAATTAAGACATTCTGTTCTGAAAAACTGTTCAAATAAGCAACATTAAGTTACAACTAAACACAGCTTAGGGATATTTATTCACCAGTTTGAGCTCTCCTTTGCCATAAATTGTAAAGTTCACAAAGGATTAGCCATACCTATTTTAAAAACATTTTTTTAAAAATGTTTTAAAAACATTGCCCTGTTCGCTTTAACAGGGAAATGATTTGTGTGACAATAGGAAGTAAACTGAGAATCACTGGCCAAGTTCAGACATAACAAGCCAACCACAGTTTGTTACATGAATATAAATGGAGGACCTCATGCTTCTAGTTACGTATGTCAGTGGTCCAGTTCAGATGCAAGAACCTACCACAAGCCTCAAGTAAATGTGTCTTCCCCTCCCCCTTTGTATGCAAGGGACAAAGATCAAAGCTTTCACTAACAGTAACAAACTGTAGTTTCTTGCTGTTTTCAAGTGGCAAATGGTAATTTATTCAACCAATTTTAATAATAAGCTAGGAAACTTCAAAACTCCTCCTACTGAACACAAATAAGGGGAAGCAAGCTTGCCTGAGCATGTGCCAGCTCACCTATGTGGCAATACATGGTATGTTGTTACATCTGAACTGAGTCACTAACACTGAGTAAGAAGAGGTCCTTCATCATGAAGACGACAGTGTTCATCCACCCTCTCAAAGAAACTGAAGACCCAGATCAGTATACTACTCACTTATGTTTCCACTGCTTTTTGGTTTTAGTAGTTGCTCACTAATATGGAGGCAGAAGTGGGACTTGCAAATATATATATATATATACATACACAGTGTTTCCTTTCAGTGTTCATGCCGGGCAATCACTTCCTATTTCAAGATACAGGCCACTTCCCAACTGCATGCATTTGGCATGAATATGAACTCTTTTGCACACTGTTTTTGCCATGAAAAGGAAGCGGGATAGAATAGGGCGGGCTTAAGTGCCTCGGAATGCAACCCCCAAACAAATGGGGAGTTGCCTGTACTCCATTTCGTTCCTCCTCTTTCTTGATTTTCCACCCCAACTCCATCAAGACACTGAGCATCCTTAGATTTCATTAGGTTGGGTTGTGGTGGCAGCAGAACTTAGGGTTGTTGATTTTTCTACTTCTGTAAATGTCCAGTGTGGTGTAGTTAAGAGCGGTAGTCTCGTAATCTGGGGAATCGGGTTCGCGTCTCCGCTCCTCCACATGCAGCTGCTGGGTGACTGTGGGCTAGTCACACTTCTTTGAAGTCTCTCAGCCCCACTCACCTCACAGAGTGTTTGTTGTGGGGGAGGAAGGGAAAGGAGAATGTCAGCCGCTTTGAGACTCCTTAAAAAGGGAGTGAAAGGTGGGATATCAAATCCAAACTCTTCTTCTTCTTCTTCTTCTTCTTCTTCTTCTTCTTCTTCTTCTTCACTAAGAATGCTTATTACCTGCCTCTTGTTGTTTCCCAAAGCTGGATTTATAAGAAGTACAATCCAATGCAAGTTTAGCGAGAAGCAAGTCTGGATTCAATGGGATTTATTCCCTACTAAGTATGTTTCGGATAGCAACCTACATCATAGAATCATAGAGTTGGAAGAGACCACAAGGGCCATCGAGTCCAACCCCCTGCCAAGCAGGAAACACCATCAGAGCACTCCTGACATATCATCTATTTCCCGTTGGAATTTTACTTGGCATCACTCAATGATGCACACATTCAAATGCAACACCACATGTTGCTAGCCACAGTTATTATAAAAAAAACTTCTCCACTCTTAAACCTGTGTTTTGAAGTGACGTTTTCCCCTGCATCTGACATTACATGGGATCTACAAACTGTGTAAGGATTTTATAAAGAAAGGGGAGGAGGAGGAATGTCCCTGTCAAATGCAAAGTAGCATGACTAACTTGCTATTTGCAGCTTGGCCTATTAAAGTCAACAACAGAACCACACTTTGAGAATGAAAGAGTATCATAAGCACTACTATTTTACTATGCTCTTTAACACACACTCAAAAGTTCACACATGCTCCATTACACATAAACTCTTTATGGGTGCATTTGTTTTAAGTCAGAAATGAAGAACACCCTTTCCATAGTTTAAAAAGCTTTGAGACATAATTTCCATTTGAATCTTCCACCCATGCTTAACATCCACGTCCCTTCACTCTTGCATGGTTCCTTCACAAAGCAACATTCTTAATTATTATATTCTTTCCTGCTACTTTCTCAAGCACATACAAAACTTAACTTGCTCAGAAAATAATTTCACTCAAATCAATATATGAAGTAGCTTTTCTTGCCACTAGGATTCAAGACTAAAATACCTAATATTAATGCCTAGTCTTTTAAATAAATGTTAAGCTCCATGACACAACTTTGGCGGGATCTCTACAGGCCACAAAGGACATGAAAGAAGAACAAATAAAATCAGAAATAAAAAAAGTCCAATAAGTACTTTTAACTGTGTGTGTTTGCAACAGTGATTAAGTCAGATTTTTTGGTGTACCATGAAGACTGTAGAATTGCTCCTGCCCTGGAGTGGGATAAACTAAGAAGCCTTAGCTTCCTGTTACTTTCAAAACCAGGAATCATGTTTTTTTCGCTAACTATCCATGATAGCTATCCCTAAGCCTTGGTTGTTACTGGCTTGCCAATTATACAACAAACCATAATTTCTGGTTCAGATATAATGGGAAGCTAAGGCTTCCTGGTTTTCTACAACAGAGAAAGAATGTTGGGGCTATGTATCTCAATATGCTGCTTGTTCACAAGAAACCCTGATAAGTCAGAATGATTGGCTTATTATTAAGTATGATCATTGTCACCAACACCTTACTTCATGAAACCAGGAAAACAAGTGTCACATTAATATTTTGGAAGTGTTGACAAATCCAGCACCAAACTCACATTGGCCAGAAAGCATCTCCAAAACTATTTTACATAAATACTGAATGGAACTACCTCCATTCCACTTTCAAATTTCCAAATGCATAAGCAGGGTCACCAACATGGTTCCCAAAGGGAGACATGCACCCAAGAGTCCTTCCCTGGTACCCTCAAGGTCCCTCTCCGCACTGAAATTAGACTTGAATATGCATTCTACTGAAACCAATAGAATAGGGTGCAGTGTGTGCTTGATTGCAGAGTGTGTTTGAACCCATAGCTGTTTCTCCAGTTTGCATATATGCCCATCGGTCCAAAAAGATTGGTAACCCTGCTGTTAGTTTATATGCGTCATGAAAGCAAACCTCCAACTCTGGCACTCTAAAGAGGCTATATTCCTATACAATATGAACTGTACATAAAAAATAAGACTTCATAAGAAAACAGTTGCATCAGAAGTTCACTTAAAAGTTATGAATACTATAGAAATTTTAAAAATGCAATGAGTTACTAGTTGACCGTCAGGTCACTGTTTTCAGAAAATAAACATTATGTCCTCAAATAATTACGTATCCAAATACTGCTGAAATATACAAATAAAGTTGTACTAGAATTGGCCATGACCAACTGGCCAAACAAAGTTTTCTTACCTGTCCTGTGATTGCTCTTCATACATCCTCTCTTTCCCCTCTTTAAAAAGTCTTATAGCCCGTTTTGATTTTTTCATGAGACTGTCAATATAGATTTTAAAATATTCATTTTCACTGAGCTGTGCAAGTTTCTGGTTGTCGTCATACTTGCTCAATATAAGTCGCAAGTGTTGATAGGTATCTGGTAAAATGTCAAGTATATAAGGTGGGCTGTTTTTCAGCTGAAGTTTGGGGTTCTGACACAGTCTCACCTAGAACCAAAGAACAATTAAATTTCACGTGAATGATAAATTATCTAAATGGATAAAACTTTATTGTATATCAAAGACAGCATCTGGAAGCATATATTTAAGCCAAAACATTGTATATTGTCCCAAGCAATCCTAGCTTTGCTGATGAAACAAGAACCATTTGATCAGGAATGCGCTGCAGACATTTGTAGCATGGAAGAACATAAAATAGCTAATTTCAAACGTACAGGAAAACAGCAGCTTTCACACACCCTCCTCCCACCTCTTCTTTCATTCCTGCAAGGAAACCCAATGTTGATTTGAAAACTAAGAATACCACATGATGTCCAAACTTGGGGGGCTGAAACATGGTTTGATCCTGGTTCAGATGTCACATGGAAATATGGCTAGTTCAAAATCAAGAACAAATGCTTTCTATTTCCTGGTGGACATGAAAGAAAAGTAGAGGAGTGCATGTGAACCCAATGCCCACTGCAGCTTATTCTTATACTGGGAAACGATTTCCTGTTACCTCTGAACTGATTCAAGTTGTCAAAGTGAATGGAGTTGACAAGACGAAACATTCAAATAAGACTGAAAAATATAAATCCCAAGCAACAATTGGAAGCAGTGTCCAAGACCAATGAGTTGTATATCAAGTGAAGTATAAGAACTACAGAACACATAACTGATGCCAGGTTAAAGACATTAAAATTTAGGGGAGAAATTTAACAGTCTTTTAACATTGTTTTCACTACCGGTGTGACTAAGTATATTTATGAGGCAACAGCTGATGATGTCACACTATGAAAGAAAGGAGCTACCATTCGCGGAATGAGAGTTGTACTCATACAAGTTCAGCTCTTCATTCAAGATGCAACAATGCTGGATGCTATCCATTGCTGACATAAACTTCAATAAAGATTTTAGCGATATAAATATGTGAAAAGCTATCAACAGCAGGAATGCATAAATAGAAAACTACTGAAATCAAGACTGAACCAAGACTTAAGATGAAAGGGGGAATATATATAAAACACCACTGTTAATTCTACATCCTATGACAGGCCATAGGCAAACTCTGGCCCTCCAGATGTTTGGGACTACAATTCCCATCATCCCTAGCTAACAGGACTAGTGGTCAGGGATGATGGGAATTGTAGTCCCAAACATCTGGAGGGCCAGAGATTACCTATGCCTATCCTATGAGGATGGTCCAATACCACAAATATATGCATTAACATATATGCATTAACAATAAGCAAGAAGTCATCAGCTACTGAAATAAAAAAAACTGACCGATTCAACTGTAGCTTAGTTACCAATTACAAAACATGCTCCAAACTGAGGAAACATTTATTCTGGTAGTAAGTGTTTATTAACTTTTACTGGTTGATTGTTGTAATTAAACAACAATATGCATGCAACAAGTGATAAATATTTTCCTGACTACAACAAAATTATGCAGGAAATAAATATTTGGCCAGTTAAAATGTTAGCAAGGGTCAAATATCTGGTTCTGTGAAATTACAATATTGAGCTTTTGAGGGAGAAGAACCACAATATTTGAAGCTGCGCGCTCCTGCTTCAGACTTTATGAGGATTGAGAGCGTCTGACCAGGCTTCTATGAGATCTTTGTTCCAGGCCAGTGTGCTGTAGTGGTTAGAGTAGGAAACCAAGGCGCAAATCCTCACAGAGCCACAAAGCCCACTGGGTAACCTTGAGCCACTCACAATATCTCTCAGCCTAACCTACCTCACAGTGTTAAATGGAGCTGGAGGGGAGTGCATGTGCCACCTTATACTAATAATAATAGTAATAATAGTAATAATAGGACCTCTGAAGCAATCTACCTTAAACCATTCTTCCAAAGGGCTAACTCCATCCCAAACTGAAAATGCTAAGTCATTGCTGGAAAAAATGCAAATGACTGAAGCACTTACTTCATCTACTAACAAAATACTGAGCAGCAACCCAGTCATAGATAATGCACTCTCAGAGCTCCATTTCTAACTTTTAAGTGTGAAATTTGAACACACAACTCCTCCAGCTACTCTTCTTTAAATATTCTGAAGTGTCCACAGTGGAAACATAGTCTCCTACTGGAATTAGCAGCAGCAACAATATCTGAGCACGGTGGGATTGGATATTTTACATCATACCCTAGTCAAATCATTGGTCTATCCAGTTTAGAAACTGAGATATGAAAGCTAGGAGCTAAATGGCACCTTAAACCTAGGTTATGGGCTCAACAACAGAATGTCTAGGTGCACTTTTTTATAACAAGAATACAAAGCTGAAAATGAATGAACTGCAGCTAAAATCTTATGTTCATTTTTCACATGGTCTAGTCCTCATCTGAAGACTTCAAAAAACAAAGCCATGCTTCCCCTGCCTGCCCCCCTAATATTCTTAAGAGGCTGGAAGTGGGGAGGCAGAAAAAGGTCCTCCTTTCCTTCCACTCTGCAGACAAGCCCTGGATTCTCCCTACACTCCCTTTCCTTCATATAAATATATCTTTTTGGCACCAAAATGAACACATATTAAAGGCCTCTACAACTGATGGCAGAGACACCCACCTTGAGTGTTCAGTTCGCAAACCTAAGATTTAAGGGTCGTCCAATGATCCCACTCCAAAATTTGTGAGAGTGTGTGGTAGATAACTGGCTATTGTATTTCAAATTAAAAGCACATCATACATTAAAAGTACATTAAACAAGACAACTTAAACCTAAACAAAACATGTTGGGTTTAAAAGAAAAGAAAGTTTTTAGGTCCCCAATCCATGCACGTTTTACTTGGGACGAAGCCCCTCTGAACTTGGTTGGGATTTACTTCCAAGTAACAGTGGCGATTTTAATCTGAAATCTTAGGCGCAGTACTGCACCCTGAACTCAGAAACTGCTCGCATTTATGAAATTCCCGGTCGCAAAACGCGCCTAGAACAATGGGAGTTTCAAATGTTGGGTTTATCTAGTTCTATCTAGATAGCTCTTCAGTCTTTCAGTCAGGTGGTATTCTGAACCCTACCTGGAAAGGCCAGGGATAGAACCAGGAATTCTGTGTGCAAAGCAGATGCTCTACCACTGAGTTGTAGCCATCCCCTATTCTTACACTGTGTGTTAGCTTTCTTTTATTGTCATCCAGCCTGGAGGCCAGATGTCAAGCAGAAATGCAAGATATAAATATTTTAAATAAACAAGCAAAACATCCAAGTGGCTTTTCAAACTGTAATTAGCCTCTCCTATGTAGTGTATGCAATTTGTTTATTTCACATTATACAGTTCTACATTTGCCATCCATATAGATTTATACTGTCTGACATGTAGAACGTAGCACCGGACACAAACTTACTGAATCCAATCAAATTCAGGCAGCACAATCAAAATGCCTATTACCTTCTGCTTGCATAATAAGGTACTGAAATGAACAATAATTTGTGTAGCTTCCAAGAGTTCCAAACACTGCCTCCAAAGTTGTCTAGGGATGTTTATCTCCACCACTATCACCACCAAAAAACAGCATTAACATCTTAAGCGATTGTGCTACCATCTCTTAGGACACAGGATATCACACCATTCCTGCAAGGAATTATTAATGGCTTGTTTTAACAGACTTTTATTGCATATCTCTTATTATGAAACTTTTTAATATGGAGCTATGGACAATAATCTGTCATTTTTGTTATGAAACGCTTGGAGTGAAATATATACAGAAAAACTGCATAGTGACTATTTAGATATTTAAAAGATAAACCATCATTTTAATTTGTATAGTGATTTTTTGTAGAATATGCAACAAACTTGTGCTTATCTATCAGATCATCTGGATGATAAATAACAGGCTTTTAAATACAGCACCAAACCAGAGAAGCTTTTGGCACTATGTGACTGAAAATGAACCATGGCAAGCCTTACCCTCATGTGCCACACACATGGGAAGGAGTTTAAAAGCTTCCACTTTCAGTTCAGTAAAATCTGATGTGCCCGTTACCTAAGGTAGTGGTGGTGGAGGGGGGGAGTAGCTTAATCTAACTATATTTGGAGCAAACATGATTCTGCTTTTTCTTAACTAAGCATTGGTAGAATAAGCCAAATTTCCCCAAATTTGGCATAAAGGCTTCATTCGCAACACATGCTATGTGAAACTACAGCTTACCATTACCAGGACCACACAAACATGTGGATTCCTAGAGAGAAACTTGCAGCCACAGCCACTTTATTCCTCCCTGCACTGAGCCTTTGGCTGATTAACAGTCTATGCTCTTTTAAATGTGTTTGGGGGGGTGGGGTTGGTTTGTTTTATTATATATTTCGTGTTTTCATTTTGTATTTTTACATTGGAATCTCCCGGGGAAGGGCAGTCTACAAATTTAATGAATAATAATAAAAAGAAGATGCAGGTTAATATGCTTAAACTCTTTCCCCACTAAGCACATGCTATAGCTAGGAGAAAGCTTAAACACAAGCCTGGGTTTGGAAAACCCACTAAACCAAACACTTACTAAGCTCAATGTGCCAACAAAAAGTCCTGGAGATGACCAAAGCGGCTGTGAATTCCTATTTGGGAGCCCATGCATTTATGTGACCCCAGGAAGCCACAGTTCTGTTTACCATATTGTGCAAACCAAGCTAATGATCTTACTCAAAACAAACTTTCAAAGGGGGGGAGGGCGTAATAAGGGATACCATGGCTTATTCTTATATGGCTGAGTGTTACAATTGTACTTGGGCTAGTTAGACTCTAATCACAAAAACAACCTCATCATATTGAGCAGTATCTGGTATTTTCCTCCACAGAATTCTGTTGCAGGAACTGCATTGCAGGATCAAATCATAAGCTGCATTTAATTTTGGAAATGCTTTTACAATCTAGTATTTATTTTAACTATGAAAAAACATCCCTTTGCCATCTGCTAACACAAAAGATGTCTGAATAGAGTTTGTTCAAATGCATCTCCTCCACTACAAGTACCAAATACTCAACTCTAGATACAAATAACAGGATTCTAACATCATGACATCATCCTGTCTGGTATACTTTAATTTAATCTGGAGATAAAATGTGATTAACTGACAAAAGCTTAAATGGGATACATTAAGATCCAACTGAGGACACTTAACCAATGGAAGAGGGGGGTGGGGGAAGGTATAGCATCTAGACTTCCTAAAGCCTTCTGTAAAACAGACCCTATACTCTCGTGGGCAAAAACATTGGCTTGGGCCCTAAAATAAGTTAACTTAAAGAAGTCAATTTGTGACAATTCCCTTGTCACTGTTGGCAGGGGAATCCTCTGGAAAAGACAGAGGGATGAGGAAACTTTTATTTCATGAACTTCCATAAATTAAAGGGATACAAGCCATTGTAGCAAGGCTTTTAAAAATCAAGCAGTAATGATGTAAACAGTGAGATCTTTCACAGTTTGCATAGTAACTGAAACAAGAAAACAACATTAGAAAGCTTTCTGAGATTTAGACCTAATACCACTTAGAGAAGAAATCTCAGGTTACATCCCTACATCTGATGAATACTGCTAATAATTTTACATTCCAAGAGTTATAGTACTGAATGCCAGTTATAAGGCATTATAGAAGTTATGTCCAAATTAAACCTTACATACACAATTTAACAATACATTTATTTTAGACCTGAATAACAGTATCTTTTTGCCATTCAGAACACACCTGCTAAAGTCTATACCCACAAGGCAACTTCCTGTTCTCCTAGATTACAGCTACAGCACACAGACACAAGTACTGTAACTAAATCTGGGTTCACTTACAGCTGTATGGATAGGGCCACTGTAATGAACTACAGTATTGTATTTAGCCATTCTATGAACCGATACTATGTTAATTCTGGTCATTCATACTACTTTTGAAGTGTCAGCAAATCAGTGCTTAGGATGGGGCAACAATTGCTGCTTCAGAGAAACACCTTAAGTATGATGTTACTATAACCAAATAAGGATGTATAATTCAGTAAATTAATCAGTCTGCTTCACCACTAACTGTACATATATCCCAGACAACTGTGATTGTTTCCATCATATGTTTGTTTAGCACTACCAGTTTGCTATATAAATAGGATAGAGGTAACATGCCAAGGCGGCTTGCTATTTAAAGTTATAAACCTAAAAAAACCCTAACTTGGACATCAGTCCCATTGAAATCAGATAAATATGGTTAGCAAGATTGGCAAGATAAAGCTGTGAGGAAGTGACAGTGCTAGATATAGAAACAATGCACAAGGGATAAATGAACCTAGGTTCGCAAAGGGCAACTAAAAAAATCCTCATTTTCCTCCAGGAAGGCTTTTGGGAAGAAATATGAATGTAAAAAAAAGGAAATGTTAAAAATGAAATCTTAATTTAATAGAAACATGTTAAAAGCAAAAAGATATCTGCATCTTTAAACTGAATACATTAAAAAAAACCTGACCCATGGAACTCAAACAGCACAATAAGGAATGTCTATATTATCATGGCCTCAATGTATGTCACAAAACAAAGATCCACAGAGTCTGTAGAGATGTCTGCTTTGTGTTATGGATTGAGCAGCCCAACTCTAACTATTTTTTACTCAAGTTCTACTGAATCCAACTGGAGCTACTCTGGAAAGCATGGCCACAGATCAATGGTAGAGCTCATGTTTGTTATACAGAATATTTCAGATATCATCCCTGACATTTCTAGTTAGAAGGATTATATAGCAAATGAAGTGAAAGACTCCACCTGAAAAAAGCCTAGAGAGCTACTGCAAACAGGACTGGACTAAATTGACAAATAGTATGAACTGTTATAAGGTAGACATGAACTGGTATAAGATGTTAGTCTCAAGTAATGTCCATAGCACTGCAGCCTAAGCAATGCAGTTTTCTCAGTTCTCATGTTATGGATTTTGTACTGTATAAAGCAGGCACAAAAGTGTAACTCCAGAAAGAAAAGAGGGTTGATGATCAACTTGCATGGCATAAATTATGGAAAATCTATAGGATATCTAAACTGAGACTAAAGTAACTTGCCCTAATCAGGTAGGTAGATAAGGTATTACAGGCACACACTTTAGCCTGAATTACTGCCAGTCTTAGCAGTAGTAGTAACCTTTAAAGTTGTTCTGAAATCTGTAGGCTGGCAACACATACAATCAGAACTTGAGTTCCAAAGAAGTTTATTTCTAGACTTCAACACCAGGAATCAAATGTGTGACTTTTATGCAATACATTAGTCTTGAATTCCAAGTTAAGGCTTGATAATAATTGTAAAAGGCCTAAGACTCAGTTGCGGCTATTTAAGCATCTTCATTGAGACATTTACTGCTTGACAAATGAAAGTTCTATTGCTCTCTCAATAAACGTTCACTTCAAAGTTGTAAGAATTCCACCTAGTTATATGCAATAATATTCTTTACCTATATAGAAACTTCATATATTCATTGTAGGTGAAATACCAGCCGTAAAGCCATGAGTAAAGACTATTCTTTTGTTTTAAGAATTTAATGCCAACTGATGTTGCTTGTTCAGTTGTGAAGGATTAAAAAGAAAGCCATCAATCATCCTCATAGCCAATGCTGCACACTTAATTAAATATCTGTCCTGTTGCCTTAGTAATGAACCATATTTTTCTGCAGTGAGAAAAGGGATGTTGCATACAACTTAGTAGAAGTTGCAATGACTAAACATGCTAACTATTCTACAACAATATTTAACAAAATAAGTGATTCCGATTCAGATACAGGTTAACAGATAATTTTTGAGTCGTACACCATGCCTCCATGGTAAACAGCTCTCCAATAACTATTCAAGAAATCACATAATACATTTTAAGGAACCTTTAAAATTGAAAGCCAAGGCCCTTAAGTTTTGTTCATTCCTACGAGAGAAAGCAGGGTTTTTTTTATTCCCCTAAACTGCAAATTGAACTGCATGCATATGATTAACGTAAGAGTGCTTCACAACTTGATTACCTTAACTGAAGTTTCATTTTCAAGAAGATATTGTAACAACATGCTCCAGTGGGGAACCAAAGAACATTTGGTTCACAGGAAACAAGCTGCTTATTCACAACCTCTACTATTTAAATAACTGTGCTTATCAAAAGGTACATTTAAAACAAATGTATTTTCCCTCTTCTGTATTAAGGAGAAAACATGAGCCACGGTTAAATGGGGATCTGCCATAAATGTGAAAACACTCATTCTTTCCAAACAAGGACACAAACTGATCTGACCATACATGCACACATATAAATAGTCTTGACTATTTTCTGGTACAAGGACTCAACTGACAGACTCACCACTTTATCCATTAATTTCCAAGTTTTTTCTACAGTCCTGCGATCAGCAGCTGCTTGCTTGGGGGGGCCAACTGCATCTTGAATAGCATCAATGAAGCCCAGAATACGCCCTTTGCGGGGGTTTCCTCCTCGGCCACCTGGGTTCCTGCCGTTGAGGGAATTGGCCATCTGGGATCTTAATGTTGTAAGAAAAAGAAGAGTAATGTATAATATCATGAAATTTCCTCACCCAAACTGACACCCACACCCCACCTTCAGCTAATCACCAAAGGGCAAACACACAGTATAGTGAAAGACCAGGTTAACTTTTGATTATAAGCCCCCCTCCCATCACCCACCCATGGTAACTTTTAGTCAGAAGGAAATGATATTTGATGGATCACGTCATACACAGTCACTGACGGTACCTTAGCACAACTTATGGAAATATACCGCTTTAACAATGTTTCCAAAAAAACAACAACCCCACACCACCGATTTTACCCATCAACTTCCTTAATACCTTCAAAATTTAAAGTCACTGGTGAACAGTGATAAACACTCTCCTCCGTTTTTTAAGTTCATGCTTTGTCTCCCTCCTACATGCTCTCATAGATAAATGATTAATGTCCACACATGGTTTGCAAGGGCCACACAACACCCAATACCTAACCAAGGCACTGGTGGTGGTTGTTTTCAAGTGGCAAGTTCCCAAACACCAAGTCTGGGTGGGGTGGGGATTTAAAACAAATAAATACAATAAAATCTCTTATGCCAGCTACATTCAATATACCTACAAGTTAGCAACCTGGAGCGATATTTGTAGATATGTATTCTTAAAGTGTGGTTTTTAAGGGGGGGGAGAGGTGGGGGGGAGGAAAATCCAAAGGAAAACGTTGCTAGTTTTTGTAGATCCCAACTCTCTCCAAGGTCAGTTTCAAGCAGCAGCGAAGTCCCCCCTCACGGGGAATGTCGGAGGGGTCGGGGGTGAAGAAAGAGGACCCCCAAAAAGCAGCCCCTGACGAGTCTCTCTGGCCCCCTCACTTTGTTCCCTCTCTTCGCGGAGCCTCCCGTCCTCCTTCAGGCACACGCCATCCCTCGGCGCAGCCCGCCGTATTAAATCCCAGCAGTTTTCCTGGTTCCGGTTGCTCGTCGGGCGCTTTCTGTCCCTCGCAGCAACAGCAGCGGCCGCCGCCGCCACACGGCACTCTCCCTTCCTCGAAGCCTCGTCCCCCGCCCGGAGCCTCAGGGGCGAGGACTGCAGCAGCACAGCCAACAAAGAGGACGGGACGCCGCTCCCCACCACAGTCTGTGCCGTCGCTGGGGCTCCTCGGGGAAACATGGGGGGCTAATCCGTCCCGGCGGGCCCGTCGTCGTCGTCGCCGCCGCCGCCGTCTCCTCAGCAGCAGCAGCAGCCCCGCTGCCCTCGCTCATCGCTCTGCCCCGGTGAGGGGCGTGCGGGGGCGGCGCTCGAGGGGCCGGGCCGGGCGGCGCTAGGACCCGCCCGCAGCCGAGCCCTCCTCGGGAAGAGGCGAGCGAGTGGGCAAAGAGCTCGTGCAGCCGGCGGCACCGCGCCTGCGTACTGTGAGGGAGGAGGGGGGCGCCTCTGTCTCTCTCTAACGGTGCTAAGGTTCAATTCTCTTGACATTACCCAATCAAAGGTGAGCGCGCGACTGCTGATGGGGGGGGGGGAGTCAGGAGGAGGAAAGAAAAGCCCAAGCTGACAACTTAGTAAGGCTCCCCCCCCCACCCCGCCCAACTTTAAGAATTCTGGGGGCGGGGGAGGAGGGGGCAGTTTGTTGGTCCTCCAGTTCCTGACTGATAAGGATATAGGCCAATAAGAGGACGGAGAAGGACTTCCGGCGCCGGGGGGGTGTTTTTTCCCCCTTCCCTCCTCCTCCCCCGACTGTGATTCATGAATCGGGCCGAGGGAGCCAAAGGAACTTCGTCTCCGGAAAGTATACGCGGGTCTGTGGGAGTGAGGAAAGCAGGTGAAAGAGGAGCGAGGAGGCCGGCGAAGCGCGGGGGGGGGGGCGGTATGATAGAGACAAGGAAATGTATCCGGTTTTTGAGGCAAGGGAGGCTCATGGGAATAGGAATAGGCACCGCCTCGGGGGGAGTCTGGATACGGAGTGTTACGTAAGGATCTCTGCGTGTTTCTTTGCTCCGAAGTAAGCCCTTCCACTCCGGATTCAGTAGCGTGTTAGCAGGCCTACCCCACCCCGGCCATCGTACTGGTTCAGGTTCCGCGGGCAGTTTAATCCTAAACACATTTGCTCAGAGTTGACTTGACGCTCTTCCCAGGCACACTCAGCCTGCAGGGCTTCGCTTCGCAGTAGGATTGCGGGGCACGAAAAACGCAGCAAAGCAACTCGACCTCGGGCGCCTTTACTCAGAGGTGAGTGCCGCTGAGGTCAAGTGGGCTTGCTTCCCGAGCAAAACTTGCACGTCAGTTTTCAACATTTCCTTCCCTCCCATCTGTTCCAGGCGACATCAGGCTGCCATCCTGTCGACATGCCCTAGGGAGTAAAACCCACACGAACTCTCAGCAGTGCCTACTTCTGAGGAAACAGACATGCACAACCTTGTGTGCCGCAGAAATCACCCTAGGTCTGCCTGTCAATCAATGGCAGAGGTCTCCTGCGCATCGACTTGGAAGTAAGCCCCACTAAATTCAGCAGGGCAACTTTAGAAGTGTGCACTGCACAAGTTTCACTGCTCCCCATAGAACAGCATGCGTGGTTTTCCCCCCAGTGTCTCTTTTTACTTGATCTCGCCCACCAAAGTTAATAGTGTGTGAATTAAAAAAGGGCACTTTGAAGCAATGTGTTTAACTCGCAACAACCCAGAGTTAGATCAAAGTGCCAAAAGGGTGATTAAGGAAGGGGGAAATGTTTTCATTTAAAACATAATCTGTGATATTAATGTTGCTTTCTTGGAGTTAAGAATTCACCATAACAAGTAATCTGTTTACTGTGAGATACAGTTGATACCACAAATGTTGACCATTAGATGTCAAAGAGTGCCATTGTCACATTTCCATGTGTTATGGTGTCCTAGACCAAAATCAGGTAAGTGAAGCACTGGGCTCTGGGGAGGAGGCACAAGGGTCCTAGAGTCCTCACAGCTCCTTCTCAAAGCCTAGTTTGCACTTTCCCAGCTTTGGGAAGGGGTTAGGGGGGCCCTTGATACCCTGCTACACCCTTGTTCCTCCATCCCAAAGCCTGGCACCCGACTTAGTCAGCTTTGGGAAGGCAGAGCAAGGGCTGGTTTGTGTGTGTTTGTGAAATTTAGCCTTGCTCCCCACCCCCCTAGACTCTTGTCAGTGCAATCTATGCATATTCACTGAGAAGTAAGTTCCACTGTATTCAACTGTGGTGCTTACACTTAAATGAATTCACATAGGAATGTTTGATACCTATATGTATAAACCTGCATTTTTCTAACTAATACAGAGGTGCCTTAACAATTCAGAGATGCACTTCGTGCTTCCACCTTAGCAAGGAAACAGCATACAAATGGGGATATGCAGTGAGGGCGAGAGTAAATTTAAGGAACCACAGAAAGATGGGGAGGGAAGTTGAGGCTTGATATGTAAGGATTGTTTTTGTTGAAATGTTTGTTATAAATGAAAATCATAAATAAAAAACTTTTTAAAAGGAAGCAACGTACAAATCACTTATTTTTAGGCCTTTCTTGCATGTGCCAATTGCAGATTTTTGAATGTGTGGGTTAAGTACCCTAACAATTTTGACTCCACCATAAACTAGTCAAGTAATATCAAGTATTTCTATTATATTGGGTAAATTCATATGAAGAAAAGATAAATCACTTACCAGTACATTTTTAGGGACTTACTTCAGCATTCATCCCTTTTTGTGCTTCTGTTTCTCTTGAATGCATTACCAAAAACAGTTTATGGAATTTCATTCTGACAAGTGTGAATAAAAATCAGCTAAAAGAGGGCTTTAAAAATATCTTCATCCCTTCAGAGAAACTAAATCTTACTTGGTTTAAGCATAAGCTTCATATAGCCTGGGAATAGGAGGCAAAGCATTTAGATCTGCTGTGTAGATGTAAAGGAAGAACTTCATCCTTCATTGTTTATTTCAAAATGTGTTATTTCCTGAGAGAATAGGTTTCAGCACTTTGGTGAAACTCTCATTTCTTGTCTAGGGGAAATTATTTACAATCTTCAGCTTGCTGTTTCTGTAAGAAAAATTTGATCTCTCTTGGCTGTCTCAAAATGTTTTGAGTTACATTTGTTCTTCAGTATACGGAATATTTGTATAACTCAGTCTTTTAAAAGAGAACATATATAGTAAATCTTTTACTGTGCTTGGAAGTGTTGATATAATCTGACTGTATCTCACTAACAATGATAGCTGCTTTAATGGTAGTTAGAGCTCAAAACTTCCACCCACTGGAACTCTCCCCTGCTTTTTGTAGAAATAGGCCACAACTTGTAACTAATAGAAAGGAATTCAACCTGAATAGCAGTACACTTACTAAAATAAAGAGAGTTATTGTAGCTTTATGAGTCGTCCAAATACATATTTAGTTTCCTAAAACAAAAACATTTCACTAGCATGTATAGTTTTTAAACAACAAAAAAGAGCAACATAACATGATCTGGGCTACAATGCTAAAAACAGTTGCTAGGGAATAAACTCCACATCTGCTGGCATTGCTCTGAAGAAGAAGAAGAAGAAGAAGAAGAAGAAGAAGAAGAAGAAGAAGACGACGACAGCCAAGCCCTGAAAAGAGAACATTTACAGTGTCTCTGAGCCCTGCCCCAACATTGGGGTCCAGAGGCCTTTATTTTCAGTAGCATTCAGAATATTGGGCAGATGAAAGTGTACCCCTACCCACCCAATCCTACCACCCATTCCCATTTGTACATACTGCCCCTTGGTGAGCTCTTTTTGGGGTGGGGGACATAAGGTTAGTGCCCAGGGAGGGCAGCTTGCTCAAATTTCTCAGACTAGACACTGACCCAGGCTAACTTTACTGCCAAAATCAAAGGAATCATCTAATGCTGCAGCTAATGGCACATGTTGGGCTGCACAATCATGCAAGCAGGGTGAAACAGCTTGCTTCACATGACAATATGAGGGTGGCAGAATCGAAGGCAGGAATTGATGTGTGAACTGAGATGCAAGTCTTCCTAATGTGAAGGCCCTAGTTGGGTAAGGAGAGACAGCCACCCTTTGGACTCTGCTTCAGGCATCAGTATACCTCAGGAGGGTATTACTGGAAACAAAGGGCTTGCACTAAGGTCTGGTTGAGCAGGAAGACTTCATCTTCATGCATATGCTGTTCCAAAAAGAAATCCCCTTACAGGACATCTTACCTGCACTGCAGATGAATGTGGATTCTGGCGTTCCTTTGGCTCAAATATGCAAGTGTTGCTCACATACTCGTACATAAACACTCATGTAGGCACATAAAAACACACACACCTGCACACGTATAACAACATATACTTAAAACTGCACAAATACAAAGTTGGTGATGAGTGAGATGGAACAAAGCGAGGAGAGCCTTTCCTTTGCTTGCCTCTTCTACATACGCACACATGCATAGCTTGGGCAATTAACTGGCTAGATGGTGCTTTATCTTAGAGTGCATCTGTATCTGCAGGCCAAAGTGTGCTCCCTTGCATTACAATAACACACCGCGGAGAGCAGTAAGTTTACATTGAGGCTATAAAAGTACAGGCTCCTTGAGAGCACCTCCCTTTTAATTTATAACATAAAAATGTGTCAACTTAATTTCAAAACATCTTTGCCCCTGAGGGAATACTTTTGTATTCATTGCCATGTCGTTTCTTTTAATAATTCCATTCCATCTGCTGAAGCAGGTGCAGAGGGCTCTAACCAAGATGTTGCAATGCATTCTGATGCCTCACACCGCCTCTTTATTTTGTCAAGTCTTCCTTGGAATGTCACAGAAGCTTCCATCACCTGTAACTGCATTCACTACTCCGAAAACTCTAAATGGTGCATAAACATTTATTTCATACACACACACTTCAATATGGTAAAATGAAATTTTGACCCTGCATTTATTTTTAAATGAATATATTGAACGATTTCAAAATGTTTCCGTTTCAGTGATGCAGAGTAGCAGTTTCAAATTCTTTCTAGTTTTCACTCTGACTAATATTATGATGCCGCTCAGCCCTTGCTAACTCCTTTGCACTCTTTTTTTTTGTGTGAACTTAAGATGCAGCTCTTGTTATTTTTCAGAATTTAATGCCCAGTTACACATAATTAGTTTCTTTGAAGTTACCAGATGCAGGATTTCAGTTCTGCTTTTAAAGTTTCATTAAAAAAAAACAAAGTACACTGGATTGAAACCCGTTACTTGTAAGAGGTCCTACTGGCACATTGGTTGCGACAGTTATGTTTTATCTGAAATTATAATTATTTCTGCCTATATTAAATACATTATTAGATATTATTTAATGGGAATCATTTGTATTCAGACTTTCTGCGGCAGTGAATGCGTAGTCTACAACATGAATGAACTCCCTCCCTCAAAAAAAACTACCAAGTTACATGCAAACTAGTCATTTTATAGTGCTTCTCCAGAAAGCAGAATTACATTGCTTAAGAGGATAGTAACATGCAATGTAAAGGACATAGTTGAAATTTGTGCTGCTCTAAGGAATATAAAATGAATGGATGTGTTTCCAAAACATTAAATTGAAGGATAATGTACCATAACGTATTAAAAATGTGTAATAGTCCTACTGGTCTTGTGGGGGGAAATAGTCTGGGGTGAGGGGAAATGTGTACTTATATGAAGCAGGCTGTAGATCACCCTATCCAGCTTCCATAGCACTGTTTAATTAAAGTGATTTTATATTTGAAGCAAATGGCTGAACATGTTGCATATCGGGAAAGCTGTTTTAAAGCCATGGGTCTACCTGCCCTAGTGGTTTTCCATGAAGCTCTTAGATGTATCAGTTAGACAACCTTCCTTGAAAAAAGGAGCTTGTCCACTGCTGTTTCTATCCACTTGAAATATGTAGAGCACATTCTTAGTTCATGTAGGACAGTACTGAGGCAACTTGTGATTGGCCAGTATCCCACACAAACGCATGAATCTTCTGCAAAGGTTCAGTGCCTGAGGTTCAGGAATTGCCAGGAAGCCAAGTCACCATTGAAACTTTAATTTGTAGAAAGTGTGAAAACCAAAGCCACTGAATATTATTTAGGATATCTGGATAAATTTATTGCACTGCCAAATTATTAGGACCACTGCTGGGTGGTCTTAGGTAAATCACTGCCTCATATTCAACCCATGCAGGTTCATAAGATGTAGATCACAAAGCACCTTTCACAATCGAGAGCGATTCTAAACATTTGCAAATTGAATGACCACATGAAAAAGAATGAATAGCATTTATGAATACAGATTTTCATTACTGGGATCCATTACGTTCAATCAATGGTTTGCTGTTAGCCAATGTGTATGAAGGGAATATGCTGGCCTGCATATTCCACTGCACACAC